CAGCCTGGATTTGAAAGTAGTCAGAGTTGCAGCGGACCTGCAGGTTTCTGGGAGCTTGTTCCAGATGTTTGGAGCATAATAACTGAACTTCTCCAGCTTTAGTTCTGACTCAGGAAGTTGACCTGAACACCTGAGAGATCTGGATGGTTCATCATTTAGCAGGAGGTCAGAAATGTATTTTGGGCCTAAATCATTCAGTGCTTTATAAACCAGCAGCAGTGTTTAGAAATCAATTCTTTGAAGGTCGAAGAGACAACATTGGTTTGTAATTACCACGTCTGCAAGTTTCAACCGTCTGGCCAACACTTCCTCTCATGTAAACTGCCTTTCTGAGACCTTCCTCTTTCCCTGGCTTTTTAGTGTACAGTGTTTGTGTTAGGGAATCATTTGCTTAGATATTCAACCTTAGACAAAGTTCATCATGTTTTCACTGTCTCTTCCCGTGGCATAGGGCTACGGCCTTGGGTATTGCTGCTATCTCTCTTAAGGAGGAGCAGCTTGGGCGCATTGTTGTTGCCAGTCTGTGACCGAGCACAAGCCGCCATGAGGTAGTTCACTGTTCAGGGACGAAGGTTCCCTGGCGCTCATTCTTTCCTATGGACGAGAGTTAGATTCAGGGTCCATCATTGTTTAGTCTCACTGATGAAGAATGTTGATTATTACACTCTGAACTAGTTAAAACCTCCTACCAGAGGAAGGGTTCTTCAGGATTGATTGTGGCATCTCAACCTGTGTCAACTCGTGGCCTGTGACATGTCTTGTGAATTCTCCGGCCGAAGCTCCAAATAAACCGTCAGTGTTTGCCATCAAAGCTCCAGCTCTCCTCGTGTCTCTCTGAGTCCTGACTCCATCTGAGCTCCAGCTCTCCTCGTGTCTCTCTGAGTCCTGACTCCATCAGAGCTCCAGCTATCCTCGTGTCTCCCTGAGTCCTGACTCCATCAGAGCTCCAGCTCTCCTCGTGTCTCTCTGAGTCCTGACTCCATCAAAGCTCCAGCTCTCCTCGTGTCTCTCTGAGTCCTGACTCCATCAGAGCTCCAGCTCTCCTCGTGTCTCTCTGAGTCCTGACTCCATCAGAGCTCCAGCTCTCCTCGTGTCTCTCTGAGTCCTGACTCCATCAAAGCTCCAGCTCTCCTCGTGTCTCTCTGAGTCCTGACTCCATCAGAGCTCCAGCTCTCCTCGTGTCTCTCTGAGTCCTGACTCCATCAAAGCTCCAGCTCTCCTCGTGTCTCTCTGAGTCCTGACTCCATCAAAGCTCCAGCTCTCCTCGTGTCTCTCTGAGTCCTGACTCCATCAAAGCTCCAGCTCTCCTCGTGTCTCTCTGAGTCCTGACTCCATCAGAGCTCCAGCTCTCCTCGTGTCTCTCTGAGTCCTGACTCCATCAAAGCTCCAGCTCTCCTCGTGTCTCTCTGAGTCCTGACTCCATCAAAGCTCCAGCTCTCCTCGTGTCTCTCTGAGTCCTGACTCCATCAAAGCTCCAGCTCTCCTCGTGTCTCTCTGAGTCCTGACTCCATCAGAGCTCCAGCTCTCCTCGTGTCTCCCTGAGTCCTGACTCCATCAAAGCTCCAGCTCTCCTCGTGTCTCTCTGAGTCCTGACTCCATCAAAGCTCCAGCTCTCCTCGTGTCTCTCTGAGTCCTGACTCCATCAGAGCTCCAGCTCTCCTCGTGTCTCTCTGAGTCCTGACTCCATCAGAGCTCCAGCTCTCCTCGTGTCTCTCTGAGTCCTGACTCCATCAGAGCTCCAGCTCTCCTCGTCTCTCTGAGTCCTGACTCCATCAGAGCTCCAGCTCTCCTCGTGTCTCTGAGTCCTGACTCCATCAGAGCTCCAGCTCTCCTCGTGTCTCTCTGAGTCCTGACTCCATCAGAGCTCCAGCTCTCCTCGTGTCTCTCTGAGTCCTGACTCCATCAGAGCTCCAGCTCTCCTCGTGTCTCTCTGAGTCCTGACTCCATCAGAGCTCCAGCTCTCCTCGTCTCTCTGAGTCCTGACTCCATCAGAGCTCCAGCTCTCCTCGTGTCTCTCTGAGTCCTGACTCCATCAGAGCTCCAGCTCTCCTCGTGTCTCTCTGAGTCCTGACTCCATCAGAGCTCCAGCTCTCCTTGTGTCTCTCTGAGTCCTGACTCCAATTGCTTCAGAAGTTTCCCCCACACTTTGTATGTTCAGTAGTATGTGGTCAGATCTTGTACGAACTTGTTGGTGCAAAGACTGTCCTTTCAGCTGGAATAGAGGAACTCTGTTAGATGCTTTGACTTTGATTGACTTTATTAAATAACAATAACTTTGCTTTAAACTTCTATTGCTTGGTCACTTCTTACCAAACAGGTTGTGTGTGAAACCACCTGACCCATGAGATCTAAAAATACTTCTGAAGTTGAACTTTATTTAATTTTTTCTTCATGTTTTGTGTAATTGTTTGATTTTGGAAATTTTTCCCAACGTTTTTTTCAGTTTAATTTTTTTTTGTTTGTGTTTAATTGTGTTGTTTTCCTGAAATGACTTTAACCAGTTAAGCCCTGAGCCTGTTTTTCAGGTTTCAGGCTCGAAAATGCCACTAACACAACAAATGATATATCTTCACTTCTAAAAGGGGTAAATTAATAATTATTTTTCTCAAAGCAAGGTTACATCTGTGAGTTGGATGTAGAAGTGTCAGAATCAATATAGATGTTTTTATTTTAAAGTAAATTCAGATGGAACATAGTAAAAACATGTAAATTCTAATGTCCACCTAAAAAAAAACCTTTACTTATAGTGAAAACCACCCTTGCATGATGGGTTAGTAGACTAAAAGCTTTAGGAATCCAAACACTATAACATATAATAAGTACCCTGTATCAAGATTGATGCAAAACAAGTGAAATTTGACCTTTTTAGAGAGATTTAGAAAAATAAAGTCTAAGCGGACTCACCTCTGGGTAATTTGGGAACCATCGGTTCCATTTGAACTTTTTCACTGTAAAAATCATTGTATTACTTTGAATTATCACTATAGGTATTCATTCCATCCAAATACAACTGTTGTGAAAAAAATTAATTAAAATAAAATAAAACATAGGCTTACTCTTACAGTGTAGCCTCTGAATTAGCCCCGAGCGAAAAATGCTAACCTATTACAGCACCGAAAATCACTCCTCGCTCCCTTATTACTTATCCTAGCTGCACATCCAACACATTGTTTATGATCGCAAGGAGACACAGAATCTAACGGTGCCCACCTGAACAGCCCAACACTGAAAGATACAAACTCGCGACGTTATCAACAAAAACGTACATCAAAACAAATGGCGCTAGCGCTAATGCGCTAGGCTAACAATGACTTACCTTCCACGTTGTCTGGTCTAAACTGGTCTTCAATGGCATAAAAACGATGATGTAGTTAATCCATAGATTAATATCCAATGGGGCTGTGTCCCCTTTGAAATGTTCTGATAATCTATAAGCAATAAAACTGCAATTCCGTTATCTGCTGTCCGCTCTGTGCTCCGTGCGCTCTGGGTCCTGCTGCATTTCCTGCTTCGTTACGTTGTAAACAATAAATGAAGTGGGCTGCGTAATGTACTTAAGCTGGCTGCCATTCTTTATAATTTACGCAGGACCATATCTCTGGAACCCATTGGTCGATTCGTGTGATTTACACCTTTTTCTTAACCATCAGAACCAATGGAATCGATGGGCAGTTCCCAAATCTACGTAAACATTACCATAGCGGACGTAATAGAGAAGCAAACGAAGCATATCTGAAAGTGCAAGCCTGGACGGCAATACTTTATACCGAGTATATTGCCATAAATATGATGATTGATTATCAGTAAAAAATTCTACGTGACACAAAGACATTGGATTAACCTTGAGATGCGTTTTTATTCCGTTGAACACAACTTTTGATCACAAATCAAAAAAGGTAAGACGTAATTATTGTAATATTTTTGAAACCGGATGTTGTTTACTTTCTCTTTTCTGGCTGATAGCTCCAGGAATTCGAGGTCGGACAGTGATGACATTACATGTGTGGAATCTGTGGAGTCTCAGCTTTAAATCGTATATCTTGTTTGTGCAGTTAAGATAGTAATAAGGGCATTTCTACCGTGTGTTGTGTGTAAAAAAGCGTTAGCATTAGTTAGCATTTTTTCGCTCAATGCTAATTCAAAGGCTTGGTATTACTCTTGTGTTTTTTTTAGCTAACAATTGTTCTTATTGTCAGTTAGCGGAGTTTCTTACCTTTAAAAGGGTATGAAACATTAATAGTTTCATAAATGTTAAGAAGCCCTGAGACATGTGAGAAAAAAAAAACTGTGGGAGGGGTCCACTGGGGGGACCTTCGGGCTTAACTGGTTAAAAGGTATTCTGAAATAGTTTTTTGTTTTGTAAAATGTTCTTTATCTTTCTTTGTGTTTTCTGCGACGTCGTGTGTTTTTGTGAAATGTTTTGTCTTTTTGTAATATGTTGTGTTTTGATATATTTTGTTGTTTTCCGAAATGTTGTTTAACTTTTGTTGATATTGTTTTTCGATATGTATTTGTGTTTTCTAAAATGTTTTAGATTCAAGATTCAAAGGTTTTAATGTCATACGCAAATAAGCTACAGTGTATAAATGGTCCCGAGCTCCTCCAACAATGCAACATAGTTATTTAAGACATAAAACAATAAAACAAAAAGTCAATTTATACGTGATTTGTAGTGTTTGTTTAAATGTTTGTTTCTGAAATATTTGTCTTTTTGAAAATGTTTGAAATGATCTTAATAAATAAATCTAGCTGAGATTCTCCCACTGTCTGATTTCTTCCTTTAACTCTGACAAAAGCATTTTTCAATGTATTACAATCACTTTTAGAGGACGTAGCTCACAAATGGTGCAAAGTCATTCCGCAAAGTTCACCTCAGCGTGTTCGTGCGACTTTCCTCTTTTCAAACAAACCATAAATTAAGACTTTAGAACAAACGGGTGACCCTGATATCTTTGAGTCAGTCGGGACATTAAACTAACCTCTCCTTGTCTGTGTTTCAGTGCTCAGATGGGAATTCAGCCCAGGACAACTCCTCCCTGAAACGTGTAGCCGTGGTGGAGGACTTCTTCGACATCATCTATGCGATGCACGTGGAGATGGGCGCTGATCCTGGACGAGCCCCAAAGCACGCCGGGCAGAAGAAGACGTACAAAGCTGTGAGTAAACCCAACCACATAATAAGAACCAGAGATGGCAAAGTACACGCATCCTTTACTCAAGTAGAAGTACAGATACTCGTGTTTAAAAATACTCTAGTAAAAGTAGAAGTAGCCTACTGACTAAACGTCTTTACTCAAGTCAAAGTACAGAGGTTTTGAAATGTCCTTCAGTAAAAAGTACCCATAGCTAGCAGCTGTTTTAAAGAGTACCTGACCTCCCTTTATATTAATAGAACAATAATGTCATTGTTAGCTAATGAATGTTTCCATGCTGAACAACGGCAACATGACAACGTTTCCATTGGTCCCTCTTCTTTAGAGAAGACCAGGAAATGATGGATACGCGGATCGTGTTAAAAAAAACCCACTTTTTTCTGTGTCCTTGAATGCACCTTTCACACCAAAGAAAATCCCTTATGTGTAAACCTTTCAAATGCAAAGGTGTTATTGTCATATGCACAAAGCTACAGTGTAGAAATGGCAATGAACTTCTTCTGACCTGAGCTCCTCCAACAATGCAATATAATAAAATACTAAATAAAATAAAAAAGAAACCTTCTTGGTAATAAATATGATTCTGATGTGGGGTAACAATCGGAGGTGTGGCGTCCTGCAGAATGAGGGTCTTTGTGTGCAGCTGTAGCGCAGAGTTGGGGGATGTTAGCAGGACCCCTCACCCCTTAGGATGGGAGACAGATATTCCTCCCGCCCTGTAGAGGTCCTGTCATGTCTCATAGCGTGAACCCTTTTGAGGAGCAGCTTCAGTGGGGCAGGGCATAATATGGAGCTGTCACTGTGGCCTTCTGGGAGCCCAACGCTGCTCTGGGTGGCCTTCTTCCTCTCGGATGGCTTAAGGGTGGGTGGGGGGGTCGGTGGGGGGGGGGGGGCACCCTGCTGTGGCTCCATGGTCACGTGAAGGTCGGCGTTTTACAGGGAAATGCCAGAGGAGGGGTGAGGGTGAGGAGGGGAGGGTGGCACGGCAGAAACAGAGAGGCAAAGAGGTGGAGATTTCACCTGAGAGAGGGAGGTGGGAAGTAGAGGAGTACAAATACTTCGTTACTGTAGCCTACCTAAGTACATTTTCAGTACTTTACTCCACTACTTATTTTTCTGACGACTTTTTACTTTGACTTCTTACATGTTGAACACAAATACCTGTACTTTCTACTTCTCACATGTTGAACACAAATACCTGTACTTTCTACTTCTTACATGTTGAACTCAAATACCTGTACTTTCTACTTCTTACATGTTGAACTCAAATACCTGTACTTTCTACTTCTTACATGTTGAACACAAATACCTGTACTTTCTACTTCTCACATTTTCCAAACAGGCTGGTTGCTTTAGTTTGAATGTGTGTTTGGTGGCGTGATCATTATTCTTTAGAGTCATTGCGTTTCCAAAGTGCTGATTCTCTGTCTGTTACATTAGATGAAAATAAGGAGCCCCTCTGAGAGAGATTTGGTTACAAAGAACACAATGGTGCTCTAGGAGGAGATTCAGGTGATAAGGGGGTGGGGGGGCTTAGGGTTACATGTTGATGTAGAAGAGACATGAAGAAGAGGGGACACATGTTGATGTAGAAGAGATATGAAGAAGAGGGGACACATGTTGATGTAGAGGAGACATGAAGAAGAGGGGACACATGTTGATGTAGAAGAGACATGAAGAAGAGGGGACACATGTTGATGTAGAAGAGACATGAAGAAGAGGGGACACATGTTGATGTAGAAGAGACATGAAGAAGAGGGGACACATGTTGATGTAGAAGAGACATGAAGAAGAGGGGACACATGTTGATGTAGAAGAGACATGAAGAAGAGGGGACACATGTTGATGTAGAAGAGACATGAAGAAGAGGGGACACATGTTGATGTAGAAGAGACATGAAGAAGAGGGGACACATGTTGATGTAGAAGAGACATGAAGAAGAGGGGACACATGTTGATGTAGAAGAGACATGAGAAGAGGGGACACATGTTGATGTAGAAGAGACATGAAGAAGAGGGGACACATGTTGATGTAGAAGAGACATGAAAGAAGAGGGGACACATGTTGATGTAGAAGAGACATGAAGAAGAGGGGACACATGTTGATGTAGAAGAGACATGAAGAAGAGGGGACACATGTTGATGTAGAAGAGACATGAGGAAGAGGGGACACATGTTGATGTAGAAGAGACATGGAGAAGAGGGGACACATGTTGATGTAGAAGAGACATGAAGAAGAGGGGACACATGTTGATGTAGAAGAGACATGAAGAAGAGGGGACACATGTTGATGTAGAAGAGACATGAAGAAGAGGGACACATGTTGATGTAGAAGAGACATAAAGAAGAGGGGACACATGTTGATGTAGAAGAGACATGAAGAAGAGGGGACACATGTTGATGTAGAAGAGACATAAAGAAGAGGGGTCACATGTTGATGTAGAAGAGACATGAAGAAGAGGGGACACATGTTGATGTAGAAGAGACATGAAGAAGAGGGGACACATGTTGATGTAGAAGAGACATGAAGAAGAGGGGACACATGTTGATGTAGAAGAGACATGAAGAAGAGGGGACACATGTTGATGTAGAAGAGACATGAAGAAGAGGGGACACATGTTGATGTAGAAGAGACATGAAGAAGAGGGGACACATGTTGATGTAGAAGAGACATGAAGAAGAGGGGACACATGTTGATGTAGAAGAGACATGAAGAAGAGGGGACACATGTTGATGTAGAAGAGACATGAAGAAGAGGGGACACATGTTGATGTAGAAGAGACATGAAGAAGAGGGGACACATGTTGATGTAGAAGAGACATGAAGAAGAGGGGACACATGTTGATGTAGAAGAGACATGAAGAAGAGGGGACACATGTTGATGTAGAAGAGACATGAGGAAGAGGGGACACATGTTGATGTAGAAGAGACATGGAGAAGAGGGGACACATGTTGATGTAGAAGAGACATGAAGAAGAGGGGACACATGTTGATGTAGAAGAGACATGAAGAAGAGGGGACACATGTTGATGTAGAAGAGACATGAAGAAGAGGGGACACATGTTGATGTAGAAGAGACATAAAGAAGAGGGGACACATGTTGATGTAGAAGAGACATGAAGAAGAGGGGACACATGTTGATGTAGAAGAGACATAAAGAAGAGGGGTCACATGTTGATGTAGAAGAGACATGAAGAAGAGGGGGACACATGTTGATGTAGAAGAGACATGAAGAAGAGGGGACACATGTTGATGCAGAAGAGACATGAAGAAGAGGGGACACATGTTGATGTAGAAGAGACATGAAGAAGAGGGGACACATGTTGATGTAGAAGAGACATGAAGAAGAGGGGACACATGTTGATGTAGAAGAGACATGAGAAGAGGGGACACATGTTGATGTAGAAGAGACATGAGGAAGAGGGGACACATGTTGATGTAGAAGAGACATGAAGAAGAGGGGACACATGTTGATGTAGAAGAGACATGAGGAAGAGGGGACACATGTTGATGAAGAAGAGACATGAAGAAGAGGGGACACATGTTGATGTAGAAGAGACATAAAGAAGAGGGGTCACATGTTGATGTAGAAGAGACATGAAGAAGAGGGGACACATGTTGATGTAGAAGAGACATGAAGAAGAGGGGACACATGTTGATGCAGAAGAGACATGAAGAAGAGGGGACACATGTTGATGTAGAAGAGACATGAAGAAGAGGGGACACATGTTGATGTAGAAGAGACATGAAGAAGAGGGGACACATGTTGATGTAGAAGAGACATGAAGAAGAGGGGACACATGTTGATGTAGAAGAGACATGAAGAAGAGGGGACACATGTTGATGTATAAGAGACATGAAGAAGAGGGGACACATGTTGATGTAGAAGAGACATGAAGAAGAGGGGACACATGTTGATGTAGAAGAGACATGAAGAAGAGGGGACACATGTTGATGTAGAAGAAACATGAAGAAGAGGGGACACATGTTGATGTAGAAGAGACATGAAGAAGAGGGGACACATGTTGATGAAGAAGAGGGGACAAATGTTGATGTAGAAGAGACATGAAGAAGAGGGGACAAATGTTGATGTAGAAGAGACATGAAGAAGAGGGGACACATGTTGATGTAGAAGAGACATGAAGAAGAGGGGACAAATGTTGATGTAGAAGAGACATGAAGAAGAGGGGACACATGTTGATGTAGAAGAGACATGAGGAAGAGGGGACACATGTTGATGTAGAAGAGACATGAAGAAGAGAGGACACATGTTGATGTAGAAGAGACATGAAGAAGAGGGGACACATGTTGATGTAGAAGAGACATGGAGAAGAGGGGACACATGGTGATGTAGAAGAGACATGGAGAAGAGGGGACACATGGTGATGTAGAAGAGACATGAAGAAGAGGGGACATATGTTGATGAAGAAGAGACATGGAGAAGAGGGGACACATGTTGATGTAGAAGAGACACGAAGAAGAGGGGACACATGGTGATGTAGAAGAGACATGAAGAAGAGGGGACACATGTTGATGTAGAAGAGACACGAAGAAGAGGGGACACATGGTGATGTAGAAGAGACATGAAGAAGAGGGGACACATGTTGATGTAGAAGAGACATGAAGAAGAGGGGACACATGTTGATGTAGAGAGACATGAAGAAGAGGGGACACATGTTGATGTAGAAGAGACATGAAGAAGAGGGGACACATGTTGATGTAGAAGAGACATGAAGAAGAGGGGACACATGTTGATGAAGAAGAGACATGAAGAAGAGGGGACACATGTTGATGTAGAAGAGACATGAAGAAGAGGGGACACATGTTGATGTAGAAGAGACATGAAGAAGAGGGGGACACATGTTGATGTAGAAGAGACATGAGGAAGAGGGGACACATGTTGATGTAGAAGAGACATGAAGAAGAGGGGACACATGTTGATGTAGAAGAGACATGAAGAAGAGGGGACACATGTTGATGTAGAAGAGACATGAAGAAGAGGGGACACATGTTGATGTAGAAGAGACATGAGGAAGAGGGGACACATGTTGATGTAGAAGAGACATGAAGAAGAGGGGACACATGTTGATGTAGAAGATACATGAAGAAGAGGGGACACATGTTGATGAAGAAGAGACATGAAGAAGAGGGGACACATGTTGATGTAGAAGAGACATGAAGAAGAGGGGACACATGTTGATGTAGAAGAGACATGAAGAAGAGGGGACACATGTTGATGTAGAAGAGACATGAAGAAGAGGGGACAAATGTTGATGTAGAAGAGACATGAAGAAGAGGGGACACATGGTGATGTAGAAGAGACATGAAGAAGAGGGGACACATGTTGATGTAGAAGAGACACGAAGAAGAGGGGACACATGGTGATGTAGAAGAGACATGAAGAAGAGGGGACATATGTTGATGAAGAAGAGACATGGAGAAGAGGGGACACATGTTGATGTAGAAGAGACACGAAGAAGAGGGGACACATGTTGATGTAGAAGAGACATGAAGAAGAGGGGACACATGTTGATGTAGAAGAGACACGAAGAAGAGGGGACACATGGTGATGTAGAAGAGACATGAAGAAGAGGGGACACATGTTGATGTAGAAGAGACATAAAGAAGAGGGGACACATGTTGATGTAGAAGAGACATGGAGAAGAGGGGACACATGTTGATGTAGAAGAGACATGGAGAAGAGGACTTTACATAATAGGTGACCTTTAAAGAGGACAATAACACCATATGCATTTTTGTTCAGGGCCTCAAACCGTACAAGTGTGACGCTTCTCTGAAAACACATTTCACCACATCCAGATATCACAAACCACTGACCCCACACTCTCACTCATGCACAAATTAAACGTGTTGTTGCTCTATTCTTTCTGACTTTCTGCTTGTTGTCCCCCCCTCTCCTGTGCTCAGATCGCGGAGACATACGCCTTCCTGCCCCGAGAGGCGGTGACTCGCTTCCTAATGAGCTGTGGAGAGTGTCAGAAGAGGATGCACATCAACCCCAGCACGGCCGAGTTCAAAGGTACCGACGCACGCTAAATCTGCAGACATCATTAACAGACAGGCTTTTTTATAGATCAACCTTTAGGAGAGGATAACGCTTGGATCCTTTGACACACTGACATGGGAAAGGGTTAATTACTGCTGTGTTGCATGCTGGGATTTTGGAGACCAATCAACCCTTTAGTGCAACAGTTAGGCGTTATTGTTGCAGGTTTTTATAGAAGAATTTGATCAGAATCAGCATCCCTTTATTAGTCCCACAGAGGGGACATGTACATTGTTACAGCAGAAAAGAGCCAAAGACAGCTCCATGTTAACTAATGGCGCTTTTCCACTGCAGCACGTAGCAAGGTTCTTTTGTTTGCTTTCCCACTCGGGCGAGTTCCGGCTCAGGGCTACTTTTTCACCTTTTTTCTGGCCCTCCAAAATCGAGCTTCTTTCCGGGCCAACAACCAGGCTGAGTCGGGCTGAGTATGCTAAACTAGAGAGAACACCGCTGGCAAGGGGGCTACAACTACAACAAGATGAACATAATTGACCGTGATTTAATTGTAATACACGTTTCAAAATGATGCCGAAGTAACAACATGCTGATACCGGTTAGTAAAAACCATGAATTAATGCTTTGACAAGTCTGCAGACAGACGGCAGGCAAAACACATTTTTAAAATGCGTGTTTTCTAAATGTAGCTTGGCTAAGCTAACGCAGTATGCTCCGACCGTCCACACTCACAACAACGGCCTACAGACATAAATAAAGCAGTGACTGTATTCTCCATGACACAGGCAGTCTGTGGTTTGTACTTGTTTAACTTCTGTCTAGTTTCTGAACAGATATGAGGAGCTGTGAGCTCTGAGGGCTAACAGCTAACGGCTGATGTTGGTTTTGTGGTTCTCATTGAAGATGACGTCACGGCTCCGCCTACACTGCGTTACTATAGTTACTGCCACAGCTACTACACTGTAATGGTAACGCAGAATAAAGTGAGCCTGGCCTACCAAGGCCTAACTATACCGTACTAAGCCGTGCGAGGCCCTGCAGTGGAAAGGCGCCATAAGAAGCATGCATGCAAATAATATTAAAGATGAAAAAAATATGAAAATTACACAAAATACACATCTTGTAACAGTTCTGAAGATATAGCATCCATATTGCACAGTTATTATTGCAGGATTTTATAGAATCATTTAATCAGAATAGGTACATTTAGTTAACATATTAACAGTAAATACAAATATAAGAAAGGTCCTTGTTAAAGATCAATTTATCGGGCATATTAATGGCATTTTGCATAATGCAGGCTAAAGAAAAGTATGATAGTATTTCATTGAACCAACGCTAGGAAGGATGCTACACTAACCTTGTTTATTTGTATTCATTTATGTACTTTTATATATTTTCACTGCGTCTCAGAAACAGGTTTGCTTCCTGCTGATAAAGTCGGTTATTAAGTGAATTAAAAAAGAGTGGAAATCTGAATTATCTGTTGATATTTATGGAGATTGACTTAATGGCACAATATGTTACATTTCCGTATTAAAATGCTTCTTGACTTATGTTAACTTGTTTGTTTAGTCATGGTTAACCCCTAGTTGAATTGTTATATTCTACCAGATGCAAAAAACAACAACAATAATTCGCCATCAGCTATTGGCCTTCCCTTTCTCTAAATATTGAGGCAGTGTCTCAGTCAGTCGGGGCTTGGACTGTGAGCCGGTTCAAGTCCCCGAACAGACCTAAATATGGAGTATGGACTTCTACTTGGAGAGGTCCCAGTTCACCTCCTGCCCTGCCGTGGTGCCCTTGAGCAAGGCACCGGACATCCCCCTTCCCCCCTCACTCCCATTGCTCCCCGGGCGCTGTGCAATAGCTGCCCACTGTGGCTCCTAGTGCTAGACTCACTGTGTGCTCTGCCATTAAAGAGGGTTTCATCCCTCCTAATATTATTATATTATTAATCCATTATTAAATATTTAAAACAAGTCAAGAACATACATTTAAAATATAAAAATTACAATATAAATATTAAACTAGTAGTTGCAGTATGACAGCTGTGTAGTAAAGTTCACAGTAAAGAGAATATCTACAGGGATACAAGTCCAACATGTACGTTAATAATTCATCATAGCAGTCATAGAAACGTCTTTTCTGTTTGTTTATTACACGATAACGTCCTGTTAACACGTTATATGACCTGATGTGTGCTTTTAGGTGTTTTGATATTGAACATTCATTAATAAAACATATTTTGTGTAAATATATAGATTTATATGATATCCATCCCCTGCATGATGTAACAAAGCCTCACTGAACTGACCCCAGAGTCCCTCTAGTGTTCGCTGAGGGGACTGCAGCGGGGATTATAACATTATAAAATCAGATTTTATTGATCCCAAATTGGGAAATGTTTGCGTTGCAGCAGCATAAAGAACAACAAAACATAACGAGGCATAGAAGAGTAGAAATAAACAATTCTACACATTAAACATCTCAAATTAGAATTAAGACAGCATTAAAAAGTAGACAATATACAGTAGACCGTGAAGATTAAACATATATAAACTCTGACAATAGAACACAATTGAAGGGCTTTAGACACGATATAAAGCAGGATATTATTTACATTATTATGCTGTATGGGGACAGTTCAATAGGTACTAAAAGACACCATATTGAAACGTTCACTTCTTAACCGTTGTGTTGTGTTCGAAAGCTGTCATGGTGTTCGCGGGTCAGTTTTGACCCATGATTGATCTCAGTCCAAAACACTCAAAAATAACGATTATCATCCAATATTGTTTTAACTACATCATAACTAACTTATTATGCATTCATAACCGTACAATCCTGTTGTCATTTAATGGTATGGCCCAAAACACATCACACCACACATTGCACACGTGCATGTGTGTGTTCAGGTTCAAGTGTTAGTGTACATATTATTTGAGAAAGGTGGAGTTCCCGTGGGGGGAGCGGGGGGGGGGGGGCAGAGGGAGGGGAGACCAGGTGCATGTTGAGAACAAATATTGTTACAGTGGATGAAGGGGGAGGGGGAGGGGTGTCTAAAGTCAAAGATGAGTCTTGATTGGTCCAAATTTGACCCCGAGTCACCCACAACAATTCAGCTGGGTCTCCCCAGACCCCAACACCAAATTACATACTTTTTTTTTTTTAGAGGACTTCAGACTTGGCGAAAATGGTCAAAAACGGTAGTGTAGTTTTCATGAAGCTGTTGTGGAGGATATCATGAAGCCTTGGTCCCATACAAAACACTAGAGCGTAGTTATTATATCATTTTAACTTGAAACGGGTCACGGGAGACCCGAACACAACATAAGGGTCAATATAAATAATTTATATTGAAGGGAAAGGCAAACACATGAAGACCTTTTCCTAAAAAAACGACTTAAATAAATAAACAGGGATATTTCAAATCAACTAATTAAGAGCTATCTTTGATGAATACAAAACGTATCTTTTATTATTAAATGACATTTATTCAGTATTTTGTCTTTTTTTCTTAACATATCTGTATTTCTTTTAACTTTTTGTTGATTTCCACCGAATGTCTCTTTATGTCTGTTTTGTATTTGTTATTAATTGTTTGTTTTATGACTTCTTATACTTCTCATTAATGCATATGAGGCGAGAAAACTAGATTTTATCATTGATATTTTTAAATCTTGTGTGGGGATGTATTAATAAACCACCTGACCCTGTTCTCATCGTGCAAACAGACCCAGTCCTCTATTTATCTGTGCTAAATACCATGTTTGGTCGTCTATGGAGCAGTGGCGGTTCTAGACTCATTTCACTGGGCCAGTCATTTAATGAGAGGGGCCCATTGAAGGCAGGAAGAAGGAGATTTTAACCTTTTTTTTGGCATTATTGTTTTTTAGTAACATAGTTTGTGTCTCTGACTTTTTTTACAATATATTTGTAATTGTTTTGGTTACTTTGGCCCAAGATACAGAACATTAAAATAAGTTTGGGGTAATAAATACATTATTCATGCAGCCAAACATGTTATAGTCACAACATTTGTTCCAGTGACTTATGGCACATTTCCACTGCAGCGGGGTAGCCCCGTTTAAGCGTCCCTAAGCGTCTTTTTACATTTCGAGTTGTTCCGTTGAGCTCCCGCTGGATGTTATCATCCCCAATGAGATGAAGGAACGTCGTCACCTCCTCGGTCGACCACGGTGTGCTTTTCTTTGACGTTGCCATTTTTGTAGCTCCTCCGTTTACAAAATGCTGTTTATAAAAATGCTGCAAGCTTGCTTCTAGATATATATGCGACGCTAGGGATGATCTCGCGCGCGATCTTGTGATGATTCTCTCTGACCAATCAGCAGTCGAGAGTGTTGACGTCACTAGTTCAGCCCTGGCCTGATAGAACCACGATTTTATGGGGCCGTAAAAAGGGGAAAAGTACCCGCTAGCCGGTGCTACGCTATATGGAAAGGCCACCAAAAACTGGCCTGGCCGCTTGAGGACGATTAAGGACGTTTAAACGGGGCTACCCGCTGCAGACGAAATGCGCCATTAGTTTCCACTAAATTACATTCCTGAAAAAAGCACAGTAACTTAAAAGGAATTGCATTATCATAGATTTATTCTTTTGGGGGGTCCAAGCACCGTATCTTTGCTATGGAGGTATGGGGATTATAGTGTGTGTTTGTCTTCCTCAGAGAACGACAGGCCCACCTCTCTGGTCCCGGACCTGATCGACTACAACATGCCGCTCACTGCCACCTACCTGAAGCAGATGAAGCTGCAGTGCATGACGCCCACCGAGAGGGTGAGTGTCTCTGATGGATTCATTAGATAAACAACATCTGCTTTTTAACTAAGTAATCACATTTGTATTTGTCAGGGAATCCTTTGCCCTGCATGTCCTCCTCCTTCGCCCTCTGACGCAGATGCTCCAACCTTGAGCAGCCGTTATCTCCCTGAAGGAGGGGCTGCCCTAGCAAGTTGTTGATGTCACCAGTTTGTGACCGGGCAGCTCTCGGTCAGAGATAGTTATTGTTGTGGGACACTTGGAACACATCCTTCTCGGGGTGGAGATGACCCCGAGCCATAAGAGACAACAACTGTAATTCAGTGTCCTCAGCTGTTTAGTCTATCTATTGAACAATGTTGGTTATTACACTCTGAACTAGTTAAAACCTGGAGCTACAGGAGGGCTCTTCAGGATTGATGTGGCATCGCAACCTGTGTCAACTCGTGGTCTGTGACATGTCTTGTGAATTCTCCGGCCGAAGCTCCAAATAAATCGTCAGTGTTTACCATCAAAGCTCCAGCTCTCCTCGTGTCTCTCTGAGTCCTGACTCCATCAGAGCTCCAGCTCTCCTCGTGTCTCTCTGAGTCCTGACTCCATCAGAGCTCCAGCTCTCCTCGTGTCTCTCTGAGTCCTGACTCCATCAAAACTCCAGCTCTCCTTGTGTCTCTCTGAGTCCTGACTCCATCAGAGCTCCAGCTCTCCTCGTGTCTCTCTGAGTCCTGACTCCATCAAAGCTCCAGCTCTCCTCGTGTCTCTCTGAGTCCTGACTCCATCAGAGCTCCAGCTCTCCTCGTGTCTCTCTGAGTCCTGACTCCATCAAAGCTCCAGCTCTCCTCGTGTCTCTCTGAGTCCTGACTCCATCAGAGCTTCAGCTCTCCTCGTGTCTCTCTGAGTCCTGACTCCATCAGAGCTCCAGCTCTCCTCGTGTCTCTCTGAGTCCTGACTCCATCAGAGCTCCAGCTCTCCTCGTGTCTCTCTGAGTCCTGACTCCATCAGAGCTCCAGCTCTCCTCGTGTCTCTCTGAGTCCTGACTCCATCAGAGATCCAGCTCTCCTCGTGTCTCTGAGTCCTGACTCCATCAAAGCTCCAGCTCTCCTCGTGTCTCTGAGTCCTGACTCCATCAAAGCTCCAGCTCTCCTCGTGTCTCTCTGAGTCCTGACTCCATCAAAGCTCCAGCTCTCCTCGTCTCTCTGAGTCCTGACTCCATCAAAGCTCCAGCTCTCCTCGTGTCTCTGAGTCCTGACTCCATCAGAGCTCCAGCTCTCCTCGTGTCTCTCTGAGTCCTGACTCCATCAGAGCTCCAGCTCTCCTCGTGTCTCTCTGACGCCCCGTCTACACTACAGGCATAAAAAAATCTTGAAGCTGGGCGTGTCTGAGACTTGGCGATTTCTCGCGACCAACAACCAATCAGGAATCTCCCGCCCGCCCCCGGCATACAAATCAATAGCAATGTTAAAACGAAGTAAACTGGATATAAAATCCCCAAACAGGCGAAAACCTACCAGTTTCATCCACTGTCTCTGCCACCTCCCTCCATGCCTCGCTCCTCCGGTTTGTATCCCGGTAGATGAACAGAGACTGATCATACAGCACCGGGTGATTCACTACCGCTATAATGAATTTTCCCTCCATTTTTTTTAATATGAGGAAATGACCTGCGTAGTCTCTCCCAGCATACACGCGGTTTGATTGGCTAGCGCTTGTACTGGCAGATTTGCATACGCGGGATTTGATTGGCTGATGCCAAGCATCGAGCATCAAAAGTTGAACAATGTTCAACTTTTGATGCCGATAGATGCTCGTGATGCTTGCAAAGCCATGCCATGCTCCCCACAATGCAGTTCGGCGAAGTTTAAAAATCTTCTACGTCACCCCATTCAAATGAATGGGTGAAGCGTTGAAAGCATTTTTCGATGCCTGTAGTGTAGACGGGCCGTGAGTCCTGACTCCATCAAAGCTCCAGCTCTCCTCGTGTCTCTCTGAGTCCTGACTCCATCAGAGCTCCAGCTCTCCTCGTGTCTCTCTGAGTCCTGACTCCATCAGAGCTCCCGCTCTCCTCGTGTCTCTCTGAGTCCTGACTCCATCAGAGCTCCAGCTCTCCTCGTGTCTCTCTGAGTCCTGACTCCATCAGAGCTCCAGCTCTCCTTGTGTCTCTCTGAGTCCTGACTCCATCAAAGCTCCAGCTCTCCTTGTGTCTCTCTGAGTCCTGACTCCATCAGAGCTTCAGCTCTCCTCGTGTCTCTCTGAGTCCTGACTCCATCAAAGCTCCAGCTCTCCTCGTGTCTCTCTGAGTCCTGACTCCATCAAAGCTCCAGCTCTCCTCGTGTCTCTCTGAGTCCTGACTCCATCAGAGCTCCAACTCTCCTCGTGTCTCTCTGAGTCCTGACTCCATCAAAGCTCCAGCTCTCCTCGTGTCTCTCTGAGTCCTGACTCCATCAGAGCTCCAGCTCTCCTCGTGTCTCTCTGAGTCCTGACTCCATCAAAGCTCCAGCTCTCCTCGTGTCTCTCTGAGTCCTGACTCCATCAAAGCTCCAGCTCTCCTCGTGTCTCTCTTGCCCCTTTCACACCAGCGCTTTTTCAGCTCCGGCTCGGAGCTGGAGCCTGAAAAGCGCCGGTTTTTCCTGTTCACACCACAGCGGCGCCAGCTCTTAGCTCCGGAATCCGGTTCACTTCCAGCTCCAAAAAATTGTCGGTCTAGAGGCAAGAGCTTCGGAGCTAAGAGGTGGCGTCGCTTACATCTCTCTTACGTCGAGGCGTGCAGGAAACTAAACCCTCCTCCCCTGAACATGGGTCGACTGTCATGCCTGCCTACAAGCAGTAGTGCTTATAAACACACTTTATAAAGTCAGGCAACACTAACCAGGCTTCGTGTGATTCTGTTTATTTGTATCTTACTTTGACCATCCGTTCATTGTTATTGATCATTGTGGAGAGAGGCAGACGTGTTGTTTTGTATTATAGCAGCTATCGGATGGAATCAATACATGGGCTGCACAGGTTGTCGTGTCCGACTATCACAAGTAGAATCATAATAAAAATACGCCGGTAAAATGTGCCTGTAGAAAACGGTTTATGCCACAATAGGATAGCAATAGCAAGTAGTCAGTTTAGCTTCGGTTGCTATGCTAACATCACCCATTTTATACCAGAGAAACTTTCATAACAGCGTTGTGATACCAAACAGCGTCAATTCAGACTGACACACATTCACTTAGGCTAAGGGGAACTGGGGATATGTATCAGCTGCTTGTGTGAGTCGGACAGTGAATACTTTAGAGCGGCCGCAGCAGTGTGAGCTAACCGGGAGCTAACGGAGGAGAATAAACTCCCGTGGAAGAGCAGCCAGCACTGCAGCGGTCGGTAAATGCTGCAGAAACACATTAATAAACAATGAACCACGGCACTCTGGAGCAAAGTATAAGGTTGGAGAAGTCGTTATTCAATTTAATCTGGCTGTGTGATTAAAAGCAACACGATCATCGACCCGACGCAGTTCCCCGTCGTTGTTGTTGTGAGCGCCGTAATGCCGTTGGGGAGCAAAACAGCGATGTAAACGGTGACGTCATGACGCAGCAGCGGCAGCACCAGTCGGGTGCTGGGCGGTGTGAACAAAGCGGGAGCAGAAAAGGGAAACCGGAGCTGAACCAGAAAAGCTCTAGCTCGGAGCTAGAAAGGGAAAAGCGCTGGTGTGAAAGCCGCATCTGAGTCTCCATTGCTTCAGAAGTTTCCCTCACAGTATTGACTGGAACAAATCCTCTGGTTCATTGTCTTTTTGTCTCACGGTGGAGAATCACTTGGTGCAGAGAGAATCAAATCTTTCACCTATCTTTTTTTAAATTATTGGTACATTTTTAGTTGTTTGTTGTTGATTTTTTGGGCCATTTATCTTTTATAACATGTCCTCTTTAATCTTAATAGAAAGAAAACATCCATAATTTACATTTAGGCGTTTGTTTTTTTACTAACTATCAGTTTGTTTGCGTAGGGCGGTGGTGGCGAAGTCCATAGGGACAACTGGAAGGTCACCAGTTCAAGTCCCGGAAAGACCAAGTGCTACCGAGGTGTCCCTGAGCAAGGCACCGTTCCCTACACTGCTCCCCGGGCGCTGTACATAATGGCAGCCCACTGCTCCTAACACTAGGATGCAGAGAAACTGTTTTGTTACCTGTACTAATGACAATAAGTTGAATCTTCTTCTTCAATCTTCTTAAATTTGTCCTAAATTCATACAAGTTTTTATGGCAGTATTTTATGATTTATGATTTGTGATATCTGTAATATTTATTTACTCTATTCACCTGTAGTGTGTACAACAGATATTCATATTACATTACAGAACTTTAAAGGCCGTTTCCTCTCCTCCTCTCTCAGCAGAAATATCTCACACACCTCAAATTCTCCACTTTCATTCCTCTGTATATTCTGGAGCTTTCTACACCATTCACACACACTCATTTACACACACTTTATTACTAAAAACATGCAGAAAAGGTGGTGTTTATAGGCAGTATTTACAGTGTGTTACATAGAGATATCTAAAATCCTCTAAGTAAAAACCTATGACTCTAATTTGTCAACTACTTTGAACCAATATTCACATATCTGGTCTGGAAAAGTATGCACATTATGACATATTTACTAATATAACGCCTAAGTTGCATATTTAAACACAACATTTCAGAAAACTTGCAATACAAAAAGTAGTTGTATTTATGTCAGTAATGAAGTGGGGAAGTTTCATGGTGATATCTATTAGTGCATTATTGTACCCTATTCACCGTAGTGTGTACAACAGATATTAATGTTACATTGCAGATGTTTAAAGGCCGTTTCCTCTCCTCCTCTCTCAGCAGGAATATCTCACACACACGAAATTCTCCACTTTGATTCCTCTGTATATTCTGGAGCTTTCTACACCATTCACACACACTCATTTACACACACTTTATTACTAAAAACATGCAGAAAATGTTTATGGAAATATATTCTGTTTTATGGAGTGATCAAAGACATCCTCTCTGTTAAACCCTTTGACTAAAATGTCAACAACATGACATAACAACATTGAACACGTGTAATACAAAATATATTCGTGTTAATGTCAGTAATGTCTCGTGGTGATATCTGTTGGTTAGTTTATTGAAGGGGGGAAGTTTCATGGTGATATCCGTACGTTTATTTTCTTACCCTATTCACCTTTAGTGTCTCCTCCCTGCTGATGGGGGAGGAGCGCTGAGTTAAATCAGGATTATAATGACGTTGCGTGAGAGACTCCTCCCATGTTTGGCTGTCACAGAAACCCTCAGAAACCCCCGTCAGTGAAGTGAAGGCAGCGCGATGATAATGTAGAACCTCACTGGCATATAATTAGGATTATCCGGAACAATGACCCGGACTGAGATCTGTGGGTGAGTACAAATGAAAAACGCTGTCGGTCTCATCTGTGTGCAACGAGAATAATTTAATAATTAACATCACGAGGGGTTTATTGTACGTGTTGCAGGAGACTTGGGGGTTTAGTTAGAGTGCAGCAGCAGAAGGTTTGGTTTGTTGATCAAAACTGATCAGAGTTTGTGGATGAATCTGAAACTGTGTATGCAGAAGTGATTGATACAGTACATTTTATAGAGAAATAAACTATATGAAGTGGTGAAAACATGCCTGATATTTGTTTTCCATTACATTACATGTCACTTGTTAGACGCTTTTATCCAAAGCGACTTACATACATTCAGTTCTGTGGGCAATCTGGGGTGAAGCGTCTTGCCCAGGGACACAACGACATGCTGACTGCAGTGGGGTTTGAACCTGTGACCCCTGATTTAAAGTTTAAGACAACGAAAAGCAGCAAATCCTTCTAAGTGTTTCTCATTCGCTTAAAATACAACTCAAACAGGAGATAGATGTTTCTTCATAATGTTACTTTGCTAAAAACTTCTAGAAAAAGAATTGATGTGGTATAGTAACGCTTAGCAAGTCTATTCTCGCAGCAAAGTGCTTCAACTTTATTGTTTGTGGGTCAGTTTTAAAAGTAACTCCGAGACGTTATGAATGATATATTTAAATGAAGCATAGACATTAGTAATGCTGCGTTTCTTAATGCTTAGAAACTCTAATTAAAGACTCTCCTCCCCCTTGTCTCCCACTCTTTCTTAATTGCTCAATTTAAACTCTTTAACATTTCCCCCGGAGTTTCAGTTCTGTTTGTGTGCTCGGATAACGAGATTATATTCATCACGCAGTCGTAGTTTTCCTGCCAGCTGAGAGAGAAGTCAGTGTTTCTGTGAGCAGGAAGAAAACTGTTGGCGGATATCATTTCTGTAGTTTGGAGCCAAAAAGCTCAGCGTTTGAATAGTTTGTGAGATTATTCCTCTGCTAATCCATATTTGTGTTACGCTACAACAACCATCTTAAGGGTCTCTACGTAACAGAGTTAAAAATAGCATACTTAAAGATTTAAGGAGGAAATATCCTGCTCATGTTCAGGTGTGTATCAGTATGTAGTGTCTCTACTTTAAAGAGTCCTCTCCTGCTGGTGTTCAGGTGTATATCAGTATGTAGTGTCTCTACTTTAAAGAGTCCTCTCCTGCTCATGTTCAGGTGTGTATCAGTATGTAGTGTCTCTACTTTAAAGAGTCCTCTCCTGCTGATGTTCAGGTGTATATCAGTATGTAGTGTCTCTACTTTAAAGAGTCCTCTCCTGCTGATGTTCAGGTGTATATCAGTATGTAGTGTCTCTACTTTAAAGACTCCTCTCCTGCTGATGTTCAGGTGTATATCAGTATGTAGTGTCTCTACTTTAAAGAGTCCTCTCCTGCTGATGTTCAGGTGTATATCAGTATGTAGTGTCTCTACTTTAAAGAGTCCTCTCCTGCTGATGTTCAGGTGTATATCAGTATGTAGTGTCTCTACTTTAAAGAGTCCTCTCCTGCTGATGTTCAGGTGTATATCAGTATGTAGTGTCTCTACTTTAAAGAGTCCTCTCCTGCTGATGTTCAGGTGTATGTCAGTATGTAGTGTCTCTACTTTAAAGAGTCCTCTCCTGATGATGTTCAGGTGTATATCAGTATGTAGTGTCTCTACTTCATGTCTCCATGCTTTAATGTTCAAAAAGCTCTTTATTGTTCTCATACTGTCTGTGCTGCAGCACCTCTTTCCACCCTCTGTCTGAAACCAAAGCCCAGTCTGCTCTGTTTGGTTAGCTGGCTAGCTTAAAGATGTCCCGCCCCCTTAGCCTATCACGTACAATGTGTTGGAGCCAGTTTTGTTGAGGGTTATCTGGGTTAGCTGTGATCGTAAAAGTTATGAGAGTGAATTATTTGGTGTATGGAGAAAAGAGGAGGGGACCCAGGATGGAGCCCTGAGGGACACCAGTGATTAGTCCGACACAGTTGTATAAACTTGGTGCCAGTTAAATGTATACAAATGTACATAATAGAGTTTTAAACTAGTTGCCAGAACTTTGAAAAACAGTGTGACCATGAGATGCAAAGATACACAATGTTCCTTCTTCATTTGATCTCTACGGGATAAAAGAAAAACTCTGTTGTTTGATGTGAAAGCGTGAAGAGACCTCCCTCTTCCTGCACATCCTCTCACAGTTTCTCCCTTCTCCTCCCGTCAGGATGACAGTTCTGTGAGCAGCGAGGACATGATGAACGGCGTTGAGTCCACATGGATTGCCTCTGAACCGCCGGCAGTGCCTGAACCAAGCCCGACTAACGGAGAGAGAGTCAGCAACCAACCGTCCGCCGTTAAAGAAGAGGACGGTAAGACAAACTGTTTTATTTACATCTAAATAGAGGGGGTCGTGATGACATATTTTTGGAGGCCTACCCGGAAGTAAGCATTGCAAGGTTCCCCTTGACAAAAAGCCAATGGGATTTTTCAATTGGAAGTCAGGTCACATGACTTCACGTCGCCACCGCTAAGCTAAAGGCAGCTAATGTTGGGCTATAAAGGAACTACAGCACGTCACATGACTTCACGTCACCACCGCTAAGCTAAAGGCAGCTAATGTTGGGCTATAAAGGTACAGCACTGTCACATGACTTCACGTCGCCACCGCTAAGCTAACGGAGGCTAATGTTGGGCGTGATGCCGTTTAGTCATCTCATTTAGACACTTGTCAGAAACGTTTTTAAATTCAACAGTGGGGTATTTACTGACGTATTTCATGTCGTTGAACAACATGTTAAAATCTCTTCAACTTCGGTTAACCTCAAACCTTATTTCAGTCCAACAAAAAACACATTCAGAAAACCATTGACTTCCAGATGATGGAACCCAAAGGGCTAAAATGCTAACATATTTCTGGGGTTTTAGGACTCATTCCTGTACCACTGTAGTTTGAGAGAAGGGTGCAGATCAGTGTCACACAGGAACAGCTTGCCCTGTTCTTAGTGGACTAATCCAGAATAAATCCACTCTTACATGAAGGTGGGGGGTGGGGGGGAATCAACACAGCCCCAATCCATTGTGCCCCCCTCTGTGTTGGGGTTTACAGAAGTGGGACAAAGGCCTTCAACGATTAGGATAGAAAAGACACAGATATGGAGAATATATGTTTCTGGGGGATGTTTAAAGGTGGGGAACAGATACAGTATATGGTGGGAATATGCAGGATTCAGCACATGGATATAAACTGGGTTAAAAAGCAGGAAGGGAACGTTCCCCTCTCCCGACAGTCCCTCCGTCAAGCTGTGTTATATATATCAAATATAGTGTATTTTGCACGCATTTAAAACTGCATACAATCCAAGAAATATGTCAGAGGAGATCAGAAGCTTCCCTTTACTAACGGAGAGAACAAACAATAACAAAACCTTAAAACTAAGCTAAAAGATATGCTGGAAAGTCTTGGAGATAGTGAAATAAAACAAGCTGAAGAGATTTTAACATTTTGTTCCGTGCTGTAGTCAGTTACTTCACAAATCATGAAGTGTTGTTAATATGTGGAGATTATCCTGCTGAACAAAACCTGTAAGTATTGTGTGTTCGCTACAGAAATTATTATCTGCAATAATCCAAAATCAATCAATCAATCAAAGTGTATTTATATAGCCCAATATCACACATTTTACATTTAGCTCAGGGGGCTTGTTATACAGTTTGTGCAGAATATGAATATGACATCCTCTGCCCTTAGACCCTCACATTGGACAAGGAAACACCCCCAAAGAAACCCCCCAGTTAATGTGAGAAATGTTATAAACCACGGGGAGAGAAACAGAGGAGGATCCCTCTCAGGACGGACAGACGTGCAATAGATGTCGTGTGTAAATTAAAAAGATAATACATTTACAACATAGGTAGTCCAAATGCTTGTAAAAATCATGTGTCTATAGAAGAAGATGGATCCAGGTGGATGTCAACAATCCACTCGGTGCCATCATAACCCAAAAACCCAATGGAAGAATCCCAGTGGGTTTTTGTCCAGTTAGCAGTTGTGATGCTAACTTCCGGGCGGGTCTACAATAATACTTCACCACTGCATCGCTCTACTGATTTTGACAGTTGACCCCAATACACGAGGCAGAAAGCCCCCTCCCCCCTGCAGAAAATATGATGCTTTTTGCAGTAAACACACTCACATTAACGCTGTCAAATACTTGCACTAGGCCTATTTTATCTGTTGTATTGTGTTGCATTGTTGGAGGAGGAACCTGTGACCTAAGATTTTCATTGACATAACATTTAAAGAAAAACACAAAACACATTTGTATAATTTATGTTACCTATGTTGTAAATGTATTATCTTTTCGATTTACACACGACATCTATTGCACGTCTGTCCGTCCTGGGAGAGGGATCCCTCCTCTGTTGCTCTCCCTGAGGTTTCTCCCATTTTTCCCTTTAAACTGTGGGTTTTATCCGGAAGTGTTTCCTTGTACGATGTGAGGGTCTAAGGACAGAGGGTGTCGTATTGTCATACTGATATTCTGTACAAACTGTGAAGTCCACTGAGACAAATGTAACATTTGTGATATTGGGCTATATAAATAAACATTGATTGATTGATTGATAATTTAGCCTTTTAGGAAGCAAACTCCTGCTCTCAGCTGCACTTTCTCAATGCATTGCGATGTATTTTAACCTGTCACCTGATTGTGTGTTGAATTTGCACAATCCTCCTTTTATTGCACAATTTCATCATTGTACCTTTAATCTAAATGTATTTTGTATATGTCTACTCTATGCTATTTTTTGTTTGTTTGTATGCTGTGTGATATACATATTCTGTGAAATGTCTATGTGAAGCACCTTGAACTGCACTTATTGTATGAAAGGTGCAATACAAATAAAGATTATTATTATAACTCCACTGTAGCTATGTTTAAATGACAATAAAGCCTTGAATCTTGAATCCTCTTCCCCCCCGTCAGACGATGAGTCCTCTGAGAGCGGCAGTGCCCCCGGGCTGCCCCCCCCCGAGGGTCCGCACCCCCCCCAAGATGGAGGGGAGGTGACGGAGAACGGGCTGAATGCCCCTCTGGACTTCAGCACCTCCTCGCCCTCCTCCTCCTCTGAGGACCAGCAGCCGGTCAACCTGAGCGACAGACTGCTTCCGGCAGGAGGGTCGCCAACAAACAACAGGAAGTTCCCTGTCAAAACAGAGTACAACAACAACAACAAGGTGAGGAGTTGTTGTTATTGTGATGTGCTTTTTACATGATCTGGTCAATTCTAAGGATTTCTCACATTGTGTTGATGCTACGTTTGATTATGCATGATATCCAGGTCTCACTCTCTGAAGGTTAATGTAGGTTTGGTCTTTAGATTGCAAAGAAATAGCAGTTTAGACAACAATGTATGTGTATTTCTTTAGGGAAGATGCAATGGAAAGATCCATAAGTGCCAATAATTGACTTTGTAGATAGAGTTAGGGTTAGTGAAAGAACTAGTGTTGTAGTCGAGACCACCTTATCCGAGACCAAGACATTACCAAGACCGGAGAGTAGCAAGACCAAGACAAGACCAATACTTTAAGAGGTCGAGACCAAGACAAGACCAAGACTTTAAGAGGTCGAGACCAAGACAAGACCAAGTCAAGACCAAAACATTAAGAGGTCGAGACCAAGGCAAGACCAAGACCAAGTCAAGACTTTAAGAGGTTGAGACCAAGACAAGACCAAGACCAAGTCAAGACCAAGACTTTAAGAGGTCAAGACCAAGACTTTAAGAGGACAAGACCAAGTCAAGACCAAGACAAGACCAAGACTTTAAGAGGTCGAGACCAAGACAAGACCAAGTCAAGACCAAGACATTAAGAGGTCGAGACCAAGGCAAGACCAAGACCAAGTCAAGACCAAGACTTTAAGAGGTCGAGACCAAGACAAGACCAAGACCAAGTCAAGACCAAGACTTTAAGAGGACAAGACCAAGACTTTAAGAGGACAAGACCAAGTCAAGACCAAGACTTTAAGAGGTCGAGACCAAGGCAAGACCAAGTCAAGACCAAGACTTTAAGAGGTCGAGACCAAGACATTAAGAGGTCAAGACCAAGACAAAAACTTCATCACATCCTTGCTGAGTGGACTTGAATCTCCTTTAATATCTGATCATTGATCACATATCTTTAGCATTGGTAGTAACGTTATCGTGTATGTTCCTCATATTGTGCAGCTCTGATTCCTCTCTTGTCTGTTTTCTCTCTCTAGTCCCCGCCTTACAGCTCAGGAAGTTATGACTCTGTGAGTATGAGCGCAGAGGATCTGACCTCCGGTAGGGCGATGATGATCGACGAAGACGACGACGATCACGACGAACACGACGACAGTGACAAGATCAACGACGCCGAGGGGAGCGACCCCGAGAGACTGAAGGCCTTCAACGTAAGTCAAAGTCAGGGCAGGGTTTCCGCTAGGATTTTTTTCTCGCCGGTCAAATGTCCGGACAGAATTTATTTTACCGGACAAACATCAATGTTTCAATAATATTAATAATAATAATTGTGTAGCAGAGTTTCCGTTAGCAGGTAATTACCGGACTATGACCGGATATGCTGATGTTTAAACTCAGTTAATGGGAGTCATTTTTATATTGCTTCAGTTATAATCGTAACAGATCGAAAAATTCAGATTCATTTTTCAATAAATGATTCCACAAACAACAAACAACATAAATGTTATTACATTCAAACAAACTACTATATATATAGATGAAGTACATTATTCAAAAGTTTACATTAACTTTGAATAATAACACGGGAGAAACGGATCCTCTCTTTTCCCCTCTCCCTCTCTCTCCTGACAGCCCGTCAGTTTCCAGCTCACTAAACAGTGGGCGGGGCTTCAGGTGATCATGCAGAGCTGCTTGTTCCATCAGACTCAGCAGCTGATCTGATCTCTCTCGTGTCCGGTTATACTTAACTCGCGTTTATGTCCATATCGATCAGATCCAGCTCTCCTGATCGGCCTTTATAGAGAGCCCAGATCAAACTATTGAGAGTGAATATTGGCCGATAATGATCATAATTATTACCGGACATTTTGACCGGCAGGTTTTGAATTTACCGGTTTTGAATGAATTTTACCAGCTAAAAAACGGTAATTACTGGCTAACGGAAACTCTGAGTCAGGGGTGTCCAAACTTTTTTCACCGAGGGCCATATACAGAAAAATATGCGAAGGGCTGGGCCGCTCACTAGAGGTATATCGCCTTATAAGTTCAGTTCAGTCAGACCACTCACGTGTTTCTTTATATGTTTATTAGAAGCAGCATATAGTTTGAGTTTGGCGTCTAGGTGGGGCAGGCGAGCAGCAGCACGTGAACGCATCAGCAATGTGACCGAGCAGCAGCACAGCGAGGCAGAGGCAGCAGACCTGGCAGCTTAAATAGAGCGGCATGTTTAGGAGACTGTGTTTGGTTGGTTGAAAGAGAGACGCGTCATGTGTTAATGTATCATTGGTGCTCGAGTTGACTGCCTGAACTAGCTCGCAGGCTTCACCCATTTATAAGTTAGCAAAATCAATCAAAAGTAGGTAAATGATGCTTGTGAGTGTTGGCAGCTCATCCCTTAAAGCAGAAGCCTCAGATTGATCATAATAAGGAGAAATAGGAAGGCTGTATTTCAAGCTTGTTATGTAAATAAGTCATTGGGATTTTTCTTATCAACTAACTTAGATATGTTAGAAAATGTTTCCAACTTTAATTGACTGAATTTATTTGAAAGGTGGTTTTATTAACACATGAATACTACTGTTTAATATATTTTGACATATTCCTGGTCGAATGTACTTATTGTAAGTCGCTTTGGATAAAAGCGTCAGCTAAATGCAATGTAATGTAACATATATATTTAAGAAGTTAAATATAAGACAAGCACAAGTTTAATTTGTGGGCCGTATTACATTATAGTTTTTTAATTTGCTGAGAGCTGATCAAAGTCAAAGTCAACTTTATTGTCAATCTTTCAGTTTGTGTGTACAGACAGAGAGATCGAAATACCGTTTCCCACAATCCCGAATACAAAAATACAAATATATATAAAAAACATGTACATTAAGACCTAAATAAAAGCACAACAATCAATATATACAAAATATCAGTCACTAAGAACGACTGTGATTACATTCATACAAAACACCAATTAATTACAGCTCTGAGATGATCTTTGATTACAGAACAGTAGGTATGATTTAACAGGGAACTCCTTAAAATGAGCCCCAATTCATTGATCCTCTGAAAAGAAAAACTTTCCCAGGAATTTCACGGACATTTTGAGATTTATGACTTTAAAATCTGACGAAATATTGAAGTTGTTTCTCGTAAATTCACACCTTTAACACCGAAATGTATGGCTTTAAAAAGGCAAAGACAATCAAGTTCTCTTTCGTAGTTTTGTGAATTTATTCCTGTATTGAATCTCAGAGAATATTCATGTTTTTCATGTTTATTTATTACTTTAAACTCAGAATGGATTGTTTTATTCTCCCAAATGTATCGCTTTAAAAAGTCAAAGATTAGTAAAGTTTTCTTTCGTAGTTTTGAGAATTTATTCCTGAAGATTCGGGAGGTTTTTCTCATCAAGATATTACTTAATAATCACGTTTTCTTTTTCTCCATCTCATTTCGGCTCACTATTTATTTGACCCTAACACTGTGTTGTATATTTTAAAGATTATTTCTATATTTAAAAGAACTGCACATTGTTAATGTAAGTGTGCATGCGGCTCATGTCCAAAATTAACCTTTTCTTATCAATATTAAGCATTTGAGACCCTGCAAAAACGTTAAAAAGAACTACATAAATGTTCCGTTAAGTATTCAACCGAGTGCATCGCGTTGCATCTCGTATTTTATTTATTATTTTACATGTTGAAGGCTCTGGGTTGCTCTGGTGTCCAATGCCCATCATGGATTAACAAACATTTGGATGATCTAGTGATTTGATTTGCTCCGACTTGATTAATTGCAGTCTCCTCGTATTTATGCAACTACAACAGCAGGAATCAAGCTAATATTATAGTATAGTTTTCCCCTCCAGACGTGCAGTGCAGATAAACAGAGCTGGTAATGGCTAGGTATCTGTTCTGTTAGAGCAGGGCTGTCAAACTCAAATACACAGTGGGCCAAAAGTTAAAAATGGGTACTAGTGGAGGGCCGGACTGGTTCAATGTTTATTGCAGAACGTATTGAAATGAACTTATTGCACATATTAAACCTGGAACTAACAAAGCTTAAATGATTGCCTATAAAAACAACATTAAACATTAAATAATCATTTCTTATGGATCTATCTGCAGCTTCTCCAGAGTCATTTCTTATGAGTACATTTTCCCACAGGCCAACAACAGCTTCAACAAAACTATTTCCCTCAAAGAGAAAACAAAACATGCCCTGTTGTCGTGAGAGAAAGTGCAGAAGGAAGCATCCATTAAACTCAGTGTGCTGCTCTGTGATGCTAGCTCAGACACTTGGCGTCTCATCTTGGGTGCAAGGTCATCAATGTTTGGGCTCAGGCTCTGAGCTGAGGAGACCCTCAGGATGGAGTGAAGGTGCAATATACCGGCGGGCCAGATCTAATAGTAATTAGACATTATCCTGCGGGCCGAAATTAAATCCACCAAGGGCCTGATTTGGCCCCCGGGCCTTGAGTTTGACACATGTGGGTTAGAGAGTCTGGTGTGGAAGATTTATATCCTGAAACAGAACATGTACAAAGAAATCATTAAATATCAACCTGCACTGCTGAACTAGAAGGGTGCTTGCTTATTATGTATGTCTTAGAAAATATAAAAACACTCTCATATCTGAACTAAACGTAGGCAGATGCTCACTGTGAGTATTTCTATATTCCATCCTGTGTTTATGTCCCAGTCTGATGACGGTAGAGTTGCAGGGAAGCATCCTGAACAACAGAGAGGTCCTGAATCTGAGCGATGATCCTCCCCCTCCTCTTCATCCTCTCTACCTCCCCCTCCTCTTCATCCTCTCTACCTCCCCCATCCCTCTCTTTTGTTCCCCCTCTCTCCATGTTTCTGCTCCACACCCCCTCCTCCCAGGGGCGCAGATAGTGGGGGAAAACATCCAAAACACAAATATAGTGGTTCATTTGACTAAATGTGTGTCAGTACATTCCCTCAAGTTCACCAAGAGTTAGCCAGGGATGAGCACCAACATATGGAACTTTAACAAAAATATAAAAAATGTATGATATTATTTTAATAACAAATCATGCACGGTGGTTTGCTGATTCTGCTCCACTCTCCCTCCCCCCTCTCTCCCCCCTCTTCAGATGTTTGTGCGTCTGTTTGTGGATGAGAACCTGGACCGCATGGTGCCCATCTCCAAACAGCCCAAGGAGAAGATCCAGGCCATCCTGGAGTCGTGCGGCCGGCAGTTCCCCGAGTTCGAGGGGCGATCCCGCAAACGCATCCGCACCTACCTCAAGTCCTGCCGGCGCCTGAAGAAGAGCGGCTTCGAGGTACAGAGGACCCCCAATAAAACTCTATTAACACCACAGTCAGAGGGGGGAAGTAGTGGAGTACAAATACTTTGTTACTGTACTTAAGTACATTTTTCTGGTATCAGTACTTTACTCCACTACGACTTTTTACTTCTCACATGTTGAACACAAATACCTGTACTTTCTACTTCTCACATTTTCCAAACAGCTGGTTCCTTTAGTCTGAATGTGTGTTTGGTGGCGTGATCATTATTCTTTAGAGTCATTGCGTGCCTATTGATTTGAACACGATCCGTGTATCCATCATTTCCTGGGGGGTATACTACAAAGCAGGATTTTCGCTTAGCCGGCTAAATTCAGGGAAAACTCCGGCTTTCCGGTCCTACGAAGCTGGTTCTCTTTTTAGCAGGCTAGATCTCCATGGTAACTTATGCTTAGCGGCTAACCTGGTCGGGACCAGGTTAGGTTGCAGGCTAAGAGCTCAACTCAGTGAAAGCACCGCCTGCTGACCAATCAGAGCTCAGTGTGCGGAGTTTAAAGCGATCAAGTCATATTACAGGAGAAAGGAAATACAGAAAAGCTGCCGTCGCAGGAAAGACGGCCGGCCAAAATCACCGACTGTGTGGACGTGAACATGAATAGAATATCACCTCCATCTTCAGAGCAATCTGACTATTATAACATTAGCGTTAAGAAAGCTTACTTAAATATCTGCCACAACATAAGTAACCGGATCAGAGTAACATTAAGTACAGTCCGCGGCATATCACTTCATAATGTATCATATATTTTCTTATCTGAGTCAGCTGAGCCGTATCTGGCCGTGCAACACTCACAGCGTCACATACTGTATGCAGAAGTATTATTTTAAGCAACACATTAAGTTGACGAAACACTCGAGACAAATGTAATGAAAGTCAGATCGTGTCTTAGACGGGCAGTGATATCATAAACCTGTTAATGTACGCATTCAAACACTTGTTCTGTTCCCAGCTGTATTCACCTTGCAGGTGCAGCTAAGTGGCTTTGATCCTGGATAAAGAGTTTAAGTCATGGATGTTTAAAGTTTAACTTCTTCATTTTTGACTAGTATTAAAGTTCACTTTTCATTCAGGAAGTATGACGCTGCGCTGTCAGTACGCTTCTCCATGTTTGTGATTGGTCGAATGCTCCAGATACCACCCCTTTCATGTGAACGCGCACCTAACTAGATAGGACACGGCTGGCTTGAGCGATCCACTTGATAACCAGCGTCGTAGTACCGTTTAGCGAGAGCGCGTATGTTTTGGATTAGGCCAACCGGCTAACTCAAACATATCCAGGTTAGGTTGAACCAGCTTCGTAGTACAGGCCCCAGGTCTTCTCTAAAGAAGAGGGACCAATGGAAACGTTGTCATGTTGCCGTTGTTCAGCATGGAAACATCCATTAGCTAACAGTGACATTATTGTTCTATTGATATAAAGGGAGGTCAGGTACTCTTTAAAACAGCTGCTAGTCATGGGTACTTTTTACTGAAGTACATTTCAAAGCCTCTTTACTTTGACTTGAGTAAAGAAGTTTAGTCAGTACTTCTACTTTTACCAGAGTATTTTTAAAGTATCTGTACTTCTACTTGAGCAAAGGAGGTGTGTACTTTTGCCATCTCTGCGGATGATTCCCATTTAAATTTGAGACACAGAGAGGCTAAGCTTTTTGCTGCGACGCGTTTCGAATGAGAAAGTCCATACTGAAGTTCCAAATGTTGAATATATTTAATAAACAAAATCATACAAACAATAGCTTAGAAGGACCATAACTTTCACCAGAGTATTTTTAAACACGAATATCTGTACTTCTACTTGAGTAAAGGATGTGTGTACTTTTGCCATCTCTGATTAATACCACAAACACGGGCGTCACTGCGTTAGAAGACGTGGGGACACTTTTCTCAGATTTAAAAACCACTACTGCATTAATCCGCCCCGAAAACAATACTCCATACACCTGCTCACAATACTTGTTGTATAACTAGCCCAGTAACTATGCTACGCTGCTGCAAAGCTATTCTCTATTCAATTATTACTAAAATCAAACGTGTCCCAGGTCCAAACTGCACCACTAGAGTCACCAGAAACACTCCCAGAAAGAGACAACAGTCTTCCAGATTCTACATGTTCTCTTTTGCAAATAATGCAATTTTCAAAGTGTGCAATTATTTGTTTATGCTATTTTCAGAACAGTTGTAATAGATTATCCAAATGCAAAGTGCTGGGTACTAAATTGGCCATTTCCCAAAGTGGTGGAGACATGTCCCCCAGCGTCCCCAGTATAAATTACGCCTATGGAAAGGCGCCCCCAAATAAAATACTTTCTGTACAAATACCAAAACAAATTGGAGGTAGAATGTAAGTGCCTTTACTCAAGTACTTAAAGGTGAGGTAGGTAAGTTTGAGAAACCGGCTCGAGATACACTTGTTGTTATATTCCATGGAATGCTCTCAACATCCCGATAGCAATGAATATCTGAAGTGCTTTGTGGAAGCTGTGGCGCTGTAAAAAGCACGACCAATCATCTGAGCCGGCTAAAGTAACTGGATGGCCTACCTGCCTGTCAGCCTTCCATCTGTGCACAAACTCACCTCGTGCCCTCATTGGTCATGTGCGCGTTCGTGTGTGTTGGAGGAGGGGCTCTGTGAGGAAGTGGCAGATTTTCTCCGGTTGTGTATTTTCAAATTCTAGCGCACTCGAGCTGGTTTCTCCAAAATTACCTACCCCACCTTTAATTATAATTATGAGGTACTTCTTCTTTACTTGAGTACTTCCAATTCAATGTATTTCTTCTATACATTTCAGAAGCAAATAAAGTACATTTTAGACAAGCAAATTAGGAGAAAAGGAACTCAGTTGGAGACCAGTGCTGAGTCTCAAATCACGTCCTGTTTTAAGTGCATGTGCGTCACTAGCGTTAACTTGGAGCTGTGTTATTGTCTAATGTTGGATAAATCAAATAGAAAGACATTAAGGCCACGCCATTTTTACCATTTCATAACAATGTCCTCTTTAATGTTAGAGCATCTTTGGTAGCTTCCAGACCGTGTAATGAACCCCAGGTATGTCAGTTGAGTGTTGGGGTTTCACTAGAAGGGGGTCGTCTTATTGCTCAATGTGTGATTTGGTTTTTGCAGTTTATACACAAATGTCCGTGCACCAACAAAACAAAACAGTTTTATTGAGTTGTCGTCCTTAAATGAAAAATATATTCAAGTTTCAAGGCTTTATTGTCACACAGTGTAGATATGGCAATGAGTCCCAGGCTCCTCCAGCACTGCAACATGAATATAAGACATTGAACACATACAACAGATGACATAGTGCAAGAGAATGTTTTGAGATGTGCAAGTAAATACAAATCAAATATAATTAGTGCCAGGGGCTCCTTTGTAGTCCTGGTGATGAATGAATACTTCCAGCGCTTCATACATCTCAATAGATCCCGTGTTTCACGTCTTTAAACTCTCTCTCTGTTCCAGATCCGACCGACCCCCCCTCACCTCACCTCGGCGACGGCGGAGAACATCCTCGCCACCGCCTGCGACAACGAAACCAGAAACGCTGCCAAGAGGATGCGTCTGGACTCTTACCCCGCGGTGAGTGTCTACGGTTTCACCCAGCAGGGGTCTAGAGCAGTGATTCTCAAATGGGGGTACGCGGACCCCTAGGGGTACGTTGCGGTACTGCAGGGGGTACGTGAGATTTAAAAAAGAAAAGTTAATTAAAAAAATACCATGCATGATTACAAAAATAATCTTAGTACAATAAGTTTAAAAAAACACCATTTTATATAAAATATTCCTAGAACCACCAAGGGGGTCCTCATATAAACATGTCCAATTTGTGTATTGTATTTGATAGTTTTGCATAATATATCATTTTGTTCATTGGTTTGTTAAACAGATATTACTTCAGTTGAAAAATCAGTTTAAAAAAAATGTCATGTTCTTTTTTTCATGCAGAAAATGAAAATATCCTGTTTGTTGAAAAGGAGTTAATAGATCACACACTGAGGGAACATCACTATATTGGAATTATTTGTATAGGCTTTTTTGATAAAAAATGTTCGGGGTCGGTCAGGGGGTACATGACTGAAGAAAGTTTGAGAAGCACTGCTTTAGAGTGTATATTCATACAAAGGATCACTTAACCCACGTGTGTCAAACTCAAGGCCCGGGGGCCAAATCAGGCCCTTGGTGGTTTAATTTCGGCCCGCAGGGTAATTTGTAATTACTATTAGATTTGGCCCACCGGTATATTGCACCTTCACTCAATCCTGAGGGTCTCCTCAGCTCAGAGCCTGAGCCCAAACATTGAGGACCTTGCACCCAAGATGAGATGCCAAGTATCTGAACTAGCATCACAGAGCAGCACACTGAGTTTAATGGATGTTCTTCTGCACTTTCTCTCTCATGACAACAGGGCATGTTTGGAGGGAAATAGTTTTGTTGAAGCTGTTGTTGGCCTGTGGAAAATGTAATCATAAGAAATGACTCTTGCTGCAGATAGAGCCATAAGAAATGAATGCAACTGATTATTTAATGTTTAATGTTGTTTTTATAGGCAATCATTGAAGCTTTGTTAGTTCCAGGTTTAATATGTGCAATAAGTTAATTTCAATACGTTCTGCAATAAACATTGAACCAGTCCGGCCCTCCACTAGTACCCATTTTTTACTTTTGGCCCACTGTGTATTTGAGTTTGACCCCCCTGACTTAACCAATACAAAAACACAAATGGACCACCTAACTTTTTTTTCTTATCATTATTATTAGTCAATTTATTGAACAAGTCAGAAACATATGTTTTTCTTTTTATATGAATAATTATAACAAATACATCTCTGTCATGTTCAAAAGGGGCAAGAAGAAGAAGCTTAAAACAACTTCTCGGGTCTCCCTCTAGCAGACATTTGTCTTGAAAATAAAAGATTAGGTCATCGTCATCGGCATCATGTTCGGCATGTTGTAAACAAATAATAGTTTTTGTACAAAACAACCAAAAAATAAATAACTTTGACAATGACAAGAAATAACAAGCATGAGTTCAGAATCAGAATCCCTTTATTAGTCCCACTGAGGGGACATTTACGTTGTTACAGAAGAAAAGAGCCACAGACAGCTTCATGTTACATAATGTTACATGCATTAAAAAGTACTAAGTTATGAGATAATAACAAAACAAATATATATATATAATAAAAAGTTACATAATTGTCAACATTTGAGGATTTAGCAGCCGGGTATTACACAGTTATTAACGGCATATATATATATATTGCACATAGTTGGTATTTAACAGCAAGGGGTGTTATCGTCTGCCTGTCACCACTCCTGCTCATAACCATTAATGATTTGTATCGCGGTAGTAATATTCCAAACAAAGTGCGGCGAGGGACGAAACAAGAGAAACACATTGTGGACGCGCAAAGACTCAGTCTTTCATCCAGTTTGACCTTTTATTTCCAAAGCAAACATTCAATAGTCCATATGCGTATATTCTTTTATGCGTGTGTGCAGTCAACAACAATTGTCCTTCTCCAGCTCACTCCCCCTCCATCCATCACAAAGTGCGCAGGTAAAAGCAAACGTCACCAATCCAATGACACGCCCACCACCTATAGTGACTCACAACCATGTACCGTAACAAACAGAAAAGTACTTCAAATGTGGCTCCTACAATCTGGTTTCTAAATAATAGTTTCAGTTTAGATAAACTTTTTTCATCTCGTCGTTACTGTAACTCCACAAGTATCCAAAAACAAAAGGCCTGCTCACCACTCCAACAGTTTATAACAAACTACAGCCTGATAATGACAGCTTAACCTTCTCTGTATCGCCTCGTTCGCACATGAAATCAACGACACAACTCCAACTGCAGATTCTACAAGCTTTCATTCGTTCAGCCGACAGACTCACAGATCGTTTTCTACTGAGAGAGAAATGCAAAATTCACCGCATGTAGTACGACACCAACCTCCGCTGTGGATTTTCAAAATACAATGCAGTAAAACTATGGTTTCAGGCCCAAGTTTAACAAGAATTCAACATTAAACACAATTATTATAGTACTATATAGTATAGTGCTTGAGTAGTCATTTTTAAACAATTTGAAAAACACTTAATTTATTAAGTATTTATTTCAAATGTTACATTTGACCAATATATAAGATAAGATAAGATGGACCTTTATTAATCCCCGTGGAGACATTCAGCAGTTTAACAGCAACAGGGTGAGAATGAAAAACAAGACGGCACAGATTCAAACAGATGAATACAATTAAAGATCAAAATGATAAAATAACTATGAAATAAGAAATGAATTAAAATGAACATATATACATATTGGGTCATATATACATATTAGATATATTTACATGTCACGGACAGCTAGGGGTCGCTCACAAGGGACCACACTTTGAGAAACACTGATTTTAGAGGAAGGGGCTCGGATGCATCGTCTTCACCTCCGATCCTTTATCTCCCCTCAGGATGAACCGTCCTCCGGGGAGAAGTCGAGCTCCAGAGACCCCGCCTCTCTGACTCCGTCTGGTTTCAGCATCTCCAGCGCCGCCTTCGCCCAGGAGCAGCTGTTGACCAACGGAGGTCTGAACTTCAACCTGCGGTACGGGGGGGTGCCGCCCAGCGCCGGGAACACGCAGACCAACGGTGAGGAGATCAGAAAACTAATAATGAGGCTGATAGAGAGGATTCAACAGTCTGCTGCTGTAAGTGGAGGGATGAGACCCTCTTTAATGGTCACACATGCAGAGCACTCTGTGACTGAAGGACACTGCTCAGGAACTAGCTGATGCTCTGTATGTGACGACTACTTCCATTCTGGAGAGGATCACAAGTACATGGATCCTGAGATTGAAGCTCAAGCCGGTGACCAGGGATTATTAACATTTTGAAGTATCCAGAAAAAGTCCGATTTTTGATATTTTGAGAAAAAAGTCAGAATTTTGAGATTTTTTTAGAAAAAGTCATATTTTTGAGAAAAAGTCAGAATTTTGAGAAAAAGTTAGATCTTTAACGAATTCTCTTTTTTTGTTTTGCCTACTTCCATTCTTGAGAGGATCAGAGATACATGGAGCCTGAAGCTCAAGCCGGGGACCAGGGAGATTGTTCTCACACTCCACTACTTCCCACCTCTGTGGATTAACAACGTTGTCGATTGATTGAATCTTTGTCTCTGTGTTCTTCAGGTCCCACCGATCTCAGCATGAAGTCCATCGTGGCCCCCCCCTCCTCCTCCTCCTCCAGCAGCCAGGGTCAGGGGGGCGGTGGGGGGGGCGCCTCAGCTCAGCTCAGCCTCCCGGAGGTCACGGCGGTGCGTCAGCTGATCGCCGGGTACCGAGATTCCGCTGCCCTTCCTGCTGCGCTCCGCCGACGAGCTGGAGAACCTGATCCTGCAGCAGAACTGATCCCAGACCCCTCAGAGACTCAAAAGACCCCCCCTTTCTTTATGCATCTGGCTCACTCTGACCTTAGTGCCCTGTTTATCTGTAGCCATTCATCCCAAGCTCACACTCTCAAAAACCCTCCATTCGTCTCAGGAAGCGACGTGAAAGACCTGCAGAAACTTCAAATCAGCTGTGATTGTGACGGCTCGTTTTAATGCAGGAGTTTGGACAAATTAGTAGCAGTGATTTAGCGTCATTAGCTCGTTTCTACTTTTACACAGCCGTGGTCTGAATCGAGGATTTCTAGGTAGAGTTCATTCTCCAAATTCGGAGCGTTTTGCAGACGATTCGCTGCTAAATCCACCGATGTGTCGACCTCAACGGCTGCGGAAAATTGTGCAAACTTCACACAAAAAGAGTCGAGAGCGGTCGATGAAAATAGTCAGACATTTTTTACATATTCAAACCGTCAAAGCTATACCTCGACAAGTGTTTCCAGATGTTTAGACATGAGAGGAACAGACTCATTACCCGACTTTCTTTCTGTTATTTTATTACAAATATTTCTATCATGGGCAATTTCTCATTAGTCACAAAGGAAAAAGGAGCCCAGGTATGCAAACTTGAGGTCGCAGACACTTGGCAGGGAAAGAAAAGGAGATGAATATATTGTTTAAACGGAAACGAGAGGAAAACGGTGTGCAATATTTAAAGAGATAATCAGTAATGGTGTGCTTACTGAGAAGCGTTTTTAAAAAAGGTATTTCGCCAACAATCTCCTCCCGTACAGATGTAGTAAAAATGAAGTGATATCCCGTTCAGCATTGTAGCCGAATTCAATGTTGTCGTTAGTCGTGATCTTTCTCGCTAACTGGGATCATCCGTCAAAATGGGACCTGGCAGAAAAACGAGACTCGATGTTGCACGTCTTGTTTTTTATTTTAGTGTGAAGGAAATCGTCCTGTGAGTGTTTTTTAAGGTTGAAAAAGGAGCACATTTGAGCATCGCAGTAATGTGTGTGTGTGTGTGTGTGTGTGTGTGTGTGTGTGTGTGTGTGTGTGGTGTGTGTGTGTGTGTGTGTGCTCACTCTCTGACCTCAGCTGTGTCTAACCCTCGTTCTCATTACATCACGTCTGAAAAGAAGCAAGAGACAATCTTAGAAAATCACAGTTTACTCTCTCAGCTTTCTGCTAGTGTGTGCGTGCGTGTGTGTGTGTGTGTGTGTGTGTGTGTGTGTGTGTGTGTGTGTGTGTGTGTGTGTGTGTGTGTGTGTGTGTGTGTGTGTGTGTGTGTGTGTGTGTGTGTGTGTGTGTGTGTGTGTATATCTAGAGCACAGTCTCACAACAGACACTTTTAACGGTGAGTCACTCGGCACAAAAAGTGTTTTTTATTCCCTTTTTTCTTTGTTTTTTTGGTGGTTCTCGTGTAAGCTGTTGTGTGTTTGTGTGAAAAGTGTTTGTCCGACATCAATCTGTGATTCAAAGGCTGAACACATTCCAACAAGGACAAACGAGGCTCGCTCCTTGTTGATTTGTCAAAGTTTAGAGAGATATATTTCTGTATTTATCACAAATCTTATCAAATCTATCAGTTATTTATGGAGAATCAGTCCTTAGAGCTGGAGCTAAATTATCATGTTTACTTGACTTATATTCCCATGTCATGATTGGGCTTGCATTACATTTGAAATGAATTTATCTTCTGCAAGTTTGGAAGCACTTTATGGCTCAGGATTACGGAAACACAGAGATTTGAGTGTGTTTTACCTCGTTTGGAGTTTATGTCAGCTTCAGTTCAAACAGATCCAGAACTGGTTAGAACAACAGCAGCTCTGAATCTGCGTGTTTATGAAACTAATGGAGCTCATTACAGACGGGTTTGGAAAGCAGGAGCAGGATGCATTCTGTTTCATGAAGTCTGATTTGTTTCATGTTTGCAGCCAGAACGCACTTTCAATTCATTTCATTACATGTTAGACGCTTTTATCCAAAGCGACTCACATACATTCAGTCCTGTGGACAATCCAAGCAATTTGGGGTGAAGTGGACACAACGACATGCTGACTGCAGTGGGACTCGATCTTGCTACCCCCTGATTCGAAGTCCAGCACACTATCCACTGAGCCACAGCCGCCCATTCATGTTAAACATGACAGCAAAATCACTGCAATAAACAGTGTACAAGCTTTCTTTTCGCTGCATGTTCTAGGTCAACTATCCTCATCATGTCCAGGTCAATCTTTTGGTAGGAAGACATTGAGATAATAAGCATTTTTAGGAACATAAAGCCCTAAAATCTTTGTGATGAAATGAATCAAATGACACCTGAAAGCTGCAGAGAAACACTAAGGAGTCTTTATTCCAGAGCCATTACATTGTGCAACCAACATTCACTACATCACGAGAAGTTAAAGCACAAGCGATGAAGTTATCAGGTGGATGATTGGATTTGGGCTGCTCAATTATTTTAATCGCAATTACGATTATGGCTTGCAACGATTACGAAAACAACGTAATCGAAATAAAACGATTATTTTTTTATTATTACTTTTTTTTTTTTTTTTTCAGTTGAGTTAAACTTAAAGTTCAGGGTAATCAACTGTTAAAAACAAACTGTTCACATTTTCTTTCTCCAATACATTGATGTTTTCAAAGTAAATGGATAATCGTTTTTAACAATCGTGATTTCAATTATTGACCCAAATAATCGAGATTGTGATTTTTGCCACAATCGGCAGCCCTAATTTAAATATGTTGACGCATATATTTAATAATGAAAAAATGATGCTCTAATTGTGCATACCATGCTAAAAGCACATCCCATACTCTGTTACCTTTAGTACACACTGCAGCTGCTCTTATGAAGTAGCCTACGTACAAACTACATTATATTGCACATTTGAACTTTTCTTATGGGTGCAGACGGAAAAGCGTGCCTACTGCAAAATGTGACCAGGTGCACCAGGACATCATGCTAGTTTGTGTGCATACTGCTTACAGAATTATACTTTAACAGTCAGATCAAGTCTTGCATCACAGCAACACAATATGTTGAAGACCCTTGAACGTGCATTTGATCTGGTTTTAAAACTCTGTATCTCATTGTAGAATTGACTGATGCACACAAGAGTATTTCAGTCTGATCTAATTAAATCTTGGGACCATGTATCTCCAACTTGACTGTTTTTGGACATACTAAAACGTTTACTGGCATACTAATCATTTGGACGTTGCCTGCAGATATAAAAGCAGGTTTTCTTTATGAAACAGACCATCCTGACTCCTCTTCATCACCCTCCTCCTCCTCCTCCTCCTCTGGGCTCTCACAGACGTATTTTAAAGTTGAACGTGGTTTCCTCACACGTGTCTTCCTCGTCTCCTCGGTGACTTCACGTCGTCTCGTTTTTAAAAACCCTAGCTTGCAGATGTGTGAAACCCGTCTTTTTAACGCTGAGCTACTCGTGCTGGAGTTCCTGTGATCGGCGACGACCTCTCTGTTGTCACGTTGTCGTTTGTTTTGGTTTACTTTTGAAAATGCCCGATGGATCTTCTCTTTGTATTGACTGGACAATGTAATCTATTGGTGTTGATTAAAGATGCCCTGGTAGCTCGTGGATTAAAGTGGTCAGATAAATGTATAGCTGTACAAAGAGTGTTTTTCTAATGTGGGTACAGCACTGTTTTAAAGTAAAAAAAACAAAGTGGTTGCTTGTTTTAAACTTATCACTTGGTGGTGGTCTTTTATCGTCATTTCAACTGTTGCCTCTCCTGCACTGAAACTGACTGAAGCAGCGCAGGAGCTCGTACTGTAACCTGTGTGAAAGCTTTGTACCCCCCCCCCCCCCCCCCCCCCCCCCCCAATATTCTGGTTTTTATGGACTCAGTGAAAGTGTGATGTTTACATGTACAGTTTTTCAGAATACTTTTGCGTTTTTCTCATTTATTTTATTATCCTTACCTTTGGATCTGTTGCAGATTCTTCTTTATGTTGTTGTTGCTGTTGCTGTTGTTGTTGTTGTTGTTTCATTGCTGGTCGGCTGCTTGTTGTGGCTTCCAGCGTTAAAAAAAGAAAAGAAAGAAAGAAATCTTAAGTAAAAGGGAGCGTCACAACTTCTCAAAGTGGACCAGCAAATATCAACTTGAATCAGCTGTTTTAGAAAGTGGCCTAAATGCATTTATTACCACGTGAAGTGCTCCGAATATTTGAGTTCCCCGGTTCTCTAAATCTCCCGGTACCTGAAGGAACACTTTGACCTGTTGTCATTCTCACCTAAAAGCCATTCCCCTCTCCTGGCCTTTGTAAGGGGAACCATGAACCTCAGGAAAAACTGAATCTCCAACTTTAATTTAACGGAAAACACCATTGACATTTCTACGAGATGTCTATTGTTTTGTACATTTATCATTGTGATTTAAAAGTGGAGCTTTTTTCCAGTACCTGTGACTTAATATGTTTGATTTCTTTTTTTGTTGGAGTGTTTATAGGTATGGATATTTATTATTATATGTGAAACAAAAGTCAAAAGAAAAAGGTTGAACCTGTTTCATTTGTATGTTTCATGCAAATCTGTCCAGGTGAGATTCTCTTACATATCTCTGATGAGGGACCTGTGTTGTTTGGAAATAGCGCTTTCTCAGTGTTGCATCAACGCTATGAAAATAAAAACGATAAAAAAACAAAAACAAAAGCTCCAGTGGTTTCCCAACAGCAGCGCCGCGCGGGCTCCTCCTGATGTCAGTCATTAAAACGATGAGCGATCGAACTCAGACCGTGTGCTTCCTTTTTAATGTTTATATATCAGATACATGTTTTATAATGGAGCAGAAATACTACTTTATTTCAGAGGGGGGAGAAGTACTCGGATCTGGTACTTGTGTAGAAGTAGAAGTACTCAGGTCTTGTACTTGAGTAGAAGTAGAAGTACTCAGATCTTGTACTTGAGTAGAAGTAGAAGTACTCAGGTCTTGTACTTTAGTAAAAGTAAAAGTACTCAGGTCTTGTACTTTAGTAAAAGTAGAAGTACTCAGATCATGTACTTGAGTAGAAGTAGAAGTACTCAGATCTTGTACTTGAGTAGAAGTAGAAGTACTCAGGTCTTGTACTTTAGTAAAAGTAGAAGTACTCAGGTCTTGTACTTTAGTAAAAGTAGAAGTACTCAGATCATGTACTTGAGTAAAAGTAGAAGTACTCAGATCTTGTGCTTGAGTAAAAGTAGAAGTACTCAGATCTTGTACTTGAGTAAAAGTAGAAGTACCAGAGTGTAGGAATACTCTGTTACAGTAAAAGTCCTGCATTCAAAATGTTCCTCAAGTGAAAGTAGAAAAGTATTCTCATCAAAATATAGTGAAAGTAGCGACAGTGAAAGTAGTCGTTGTGCAGATTGGTCCATTTCAGAATAATATATATGATATGTTTTATAATGATTGATCATGAAAGTGTTCTCAAAGCTGGTGAAGGTGCAGCTAGTTTGAATGACTTTGTATACTGCAGGGTAGCTGGTGGATTTACTCCAGGTGGAACTAAGTCTGATTCAACACTTGGTTAGATTTTATATCATTCATCCACATCTGTGAAGTAACTAAAGGTATTAAATACATGTAGTGGAATAAAAGTACACCATTTAGCCTTTATTTATAAATGCCAATATGCATTTAGAACTATACACCACAACTTCTGTGGATCTCTACATATTAATTAATTTCTGCAATATATTTATTTATTTTAAGCTAAATTACATGACCATATTTTTCCTCTCCAAGATTGTAAAACGTTTCAATTTTTCCACATTTATTATATTTAGTTTTTGTTAATTCACCACAAGAGGTCAGCAGGAAGCAGTGTGAGAAATTAAAGTAGAGAAGTACAACCAGGAAGTCTTTGAACTGGTTTTGTTTTTTGTGTGCAAACCTGTTTATCGTGCTGCTGGCTGTCTCTGCCAGCAGCACGATAAAAGGTTTGAAAAAACAGATTATAATCTTTCTAAAGAGACACGGGTTTTCCTATTAGTGTTTGTGAATTTTCAAACAGGCCAAACACTTTTGAAGGAAAAAGCTCACTTTAGCTAAAGGTGGCTAATGTTGGGCTATAAAGGAACTACAGCACGATCACATGACTTCACGTCACCACTGCTAAGCTAAAGGTGGCTAATGTTGGGCTATAAGGAACTAACAGCACGATCACATGACTTCACGTCACCACCGCTAAGCTAAAGGACGCTAATGTTGCGCTATAAAGGAACTACAGCACGGTCACATGACTTCACGTCACCACCGCTAAGCTAAAGGTGGCTAATGTTGGGCTATAAAGGAACTACAGCACGGTCACATGACTTCACGTCACCACCGCTAAGCTAAAGGACGCTAATGTTGTGCTATAAAGGAACTACAGCACGGTCACATTACTAAAAAGCACAATAACTAGAAACATATAAAACATAAATAAATAAAAAACACATACAAATATAAAAATGTAATGTTCAACTAGTATTAAAAGCCAGTGCAAAGAGGTGAGTTTTTAGCTGAGATTTAAAAAGTTCAATAGACTCAGCAGTCCGGATATGTGCTGGGAGGCTGTTCCACAGTCTGGGAGCTGCAACACTGAATTGCCCCTGTCACCTCTGGGCTAAGCTAAAGAAGGCTAATGTTGGTCTATAAAAGAACTACAGCACGGTCACATGACTTCACGTCACCCACCGCTAAGCTAAAGGCGGCTAATGTTGGGCTATAAAGGAAACTACAGCCGGTCACATGACTCATCACGTCTCCACCGCTAAGCTAAAGCGGCTAATGTTGGTCTATAAAGAACTACAAAGCACGGTCACATGACTTCACGTCACCACCGCTAAGCTAAAGGAGGCTAATGTGGATTATAAAGGAACTAACAGCACGGTCACATGCGTCAGTCAACCACCGCTAAGCTAAAGGGTGGCTAATGTTTGGAACACTTGTTAGCAACCTTCATTTTTAAATGTACCAGTTGGGTATTTACTGATGTATTTTATGTCTTAGAACAAAAACGTTAAAACCGTCTTCAGTTTGTGTTACCCTCAGATCTTATTTCAGGATAACAACCAAAAACACATTCAGAGAAACAAGGGAACTGGCTATGCTTTAAGGACTAATTGAGGACTGAACCACTCCATTAAACAGCTTCTACACTTGCACTCTTTGTGGAAACCTCAACCAGTAAAAGGTTCAAGACCTAAGCCGACCTTTAGATCTTTGGTTCAGGGTATTCATTAGAAAAAACTCCTACATTTATTCCAGGTAAAAAACAAGAATAAACCTGCAGAGATAATCAACACGGTGAGTTTTTGTGTTGACAGTGAAACTCCCTCAGTGACACGTGCACTCCCTCCATGTTTCACGCTGTCTGCTCATGCTGATAATCAAATACAGATCTAAAAACAGGACGACACCTGCACCCTGCACACAGTCTGATGAGAGTACAGAGCATCAGATGTCATATTTGCTCTTGTCTGAACCTGTGGAACTCTTTACATTGAGAGTCACTTTTGGCCTCGTTACCTTTCACCCAGATGCCCCATTCATCTCTGAGCCCTGCACGTGCATCCTCACTCTGTGTATCTAAAACTACAGCAGATCATTCAGGGTTTAAAAAGACTGAAACCAGAGGATAGATTTCATATCGCATCCGAAATCATTTGAGATTCAAATATGTGTAATAGGGCTGCACTGTTTTAATGTTAAAGCAATACGGACTAGTGGCAATAAGAGCAATATTTTGTAAAGGTAATATGACGTTAAAATATGTAAATGAAGTACTGTGAAGATGCAGAGATGTCCCGATAAAACCTCACAAAACGGTTGATACATATGTTGGTGTTCATCAGGGTTCAGCGTTGGGTCTTCTGTTATTATCATTTCTTGAGATATGTTTGTTTGTTCGGATTATGGAATAATTACTGTTAAAGGTAATTAGTAAAAGGGTAAAGCGATTTCCAATTAAGAACTTATTGCATTTTTGAGTAGATCAAGGCGCACTTAGATGTATTATTTTAATTTTACTCAAGCTGATAGAAGACGTTTTACTTGGCTGCAGGTAATTGCTGCTTTGTCAACCCTAACCCTAACTGCGAGTCCCCTACATTAACTAGACTAATTATTAAGCCATGAAATAAGTTGAAAAAAAGATTTAAGCTCAGAAACCACTTGCTAGCGGGGGGTCTTTGTCAAAACAAAAAATCGCCCAAAAAACAACATGGAATTCCAAATGGCAGACGTCCTGTTGGGTTTACGATATACCTCCAAGAGGGTTTTTTGAACATCCCACCATGCTACATATGCCTACCAAATTTGATACGTCCACGTGAAATTTAAGGGTGGGGGCATTTACTTTGAAAACGGGATGTGTGCGTGGCTTTCCCAGTGGCCACGCCCACACCCAACCCCCTCATCAAAATTCTAATCATGCCACTTCCCCACATGTGCAAACTTTCTTGAGTTTTCGAAAGTTGCAAATAGCCCAAAAACGTGTTCAAAGCCGGCAAAGAACACATGTTTTAATTAACGTACAAATCAAACTTGAAGACTATAGGTTTATTTAAGGTTTAAGGTTGGTGGTACTGGATTACCCAGATTAAGTAAAACAAGAGACATTTTGAAAATAAGGGGCGTGTGGATGAAAGGGGGTTTGAGTGGAATCGGATAAAGCTTGCAGGCTAAATCATTTCATGCTGTTTAAGGTGTGCATTGAGAGAAGAAATAATCAAACTGAGTTAAGCAGATCTCCACCTCTTTTAAAACATTCAGGAGGGCGTCCTCACATCTGATTGGCTGAGAGGCAAACACACCTGCTCTCAGTTCATAATAGCAGCCAACAGGTGATGAGTTACCTGCAATCAAACTCAAAATGAAAACAAATGTGATGTTAAGCACTGTTTCAGTGTATTAATAATAGTGTATGTCTACTCTAGCAACAACAAATCAAACAATCCTGATTAAAGTTTTTAAACTATATTGTTTTTAATTCAACCTTATAAATCCTGCTATTTCCTGCAGCCACACAATGCACATCTTCACTCGTGTTTTCTGTTTATGTTTCCATTTTATCCAGTGCTTTTCTCATCATTGCAGCTGTGTTGGGTTTCCTAAAATGTTCCAGGGTGTCCTCACAGTGTCCCGTGAAACTCTGCACACAGAAACCCAGAGTGCCTTGACAGTCGTAAAAAAAGACTTGCCCGACGGGATCGTGTTGGCTCAGTGATTGTATTTGGCCGGGATCCCGAGACGCTTTTAGACCTGAGAAGCTTCTGTGATACTCTGCCAAAAATAGCTCGGCTTTAAAGGGCAGGCTGGACTGCCCCTGCTCTGGATCAACGTCTCAAGGCATGAATCATGACTTTAAACATGTGCTTCCTGTGGTGTTTCTCTAAATGCTGCATGTGACCACGAACTGTTTGACTTTCCTGTTTGCACAGACAGATTGTCGAAAAGCAGAACTTCAACCAGACTTTGTTCAGGCTATTCCTAGTCCGGGTCAAAAAGCAAGTTGCAAAAAATGTTCCCCCACGACTTATTCACGGAAAAGTCCATCCAGAGAATCAGCCCATATCGATCCATCATGTTGCAGGACCTACACCGCGGTGCCATGTCTTCCCAGTACCATTTAACTCAAGTATCCTTAATTACACATTCAGGGTACTTTACCTGAGTATTTCATGTTACACTATTTTATCACTAGATTTTAGAATCAATTATTTTACTTTTTCCTTTGAAACGTTTAGTTAAAGAGGCCATATTCTGCTTTTGTGGGGTGTCCCCTCTCCTGTAGTGTCCTTCTATAGGTTTTAGTGCATGTAAATGGTTCGCAAAGGCTAAAACCCCTGTGTTACCTCCAGAGGGAGTTTCTCTCTGGATTCCCTTGTTTACTTCCAGTACATGATGACATCACTATGGAACACTCACGCTCCTATTGGCTAGCGCTCCAACACATTCAACGATAGGCAAAGGGGCGGGACATCTCAAAGCGGTTGACAAATCACAACACAACATCATTAATAGGCGGGCGTGGGGGTGGCAGTGGGTTGTGCGTAGGTGTTGGGATCAGGGGGTAGCAGGTTCAAAACCCCACTGCAGTCAGCATGTCGTTGTGTCCCTGAGACACTTCAACCCCAAAGTGCTCCTGTGGGGATTGCCCACAGTATTGAGTGTGTAAGTCACTTTGGATAAAAGCGTCTAACAGTAACATGTAATGCAATGAAATATTTTTAAGGTCCAAAATGGTGAATTATTATGTGGTATTTTTACAAAGGATTTATGTACCGTGGGTTTGTACAACCTGTTCATACTGCAGAAATGCGTTATAAAGTCAGGTTTTATGCCACTTGTATATTTCCCTCAGTAATCCAAAAAACGGGTGGTGCATTTGAATAAAAAACACAAACATATTGCAGGGAAGCATCAAACTCATCGTTCCTTGCAGCATTTGTAACGGGAACACACTGAATACTTTACAACAAGTGGTCCGAGGCGTCTCAGTGTATATCTCTTAAAATAAGTTTGCTGGCATACCAGATAAGATTTAATATCAGCAGGTGGACTGATTTAGTATTTGACGCAGTGCAGATATTCTGGAAGGATGTTTGGCAGGTCTTCAGAAACTGAGCACTGACCTGTTTTTAGAAACGTGTTGGCAGGTCACTTTGACTTCTGTTTTCCCAGTAATGTATAGAACTGGAGAACCCAAGATATAAATATGACTTATAATTGTTTCCACAATTTTAATACTTAAGGTATAAATCATGCCTTAAAAGAGAAGCATTGTCATCACACATTAAGACACCTGTATTTGTGTGTATGTTTTTTACAAAAACCGTAGTTGGTAACAAGAGTCTAAGTGAGATGACTAAACGTCATCACGCCCAACATTAGCCGCCTTTACCTTAGCGGTGGTGACGTGAAGTCATGTGACCGTTGCTGTAGTTCCTTTATAGCCCAACATTAGCCGCCGTTAGCATAGCGGTGGTGACGTGAAGTCATGTGACCGTGCTGTAGTTCCCTTTATAGCCCAACATTAGCCACCTTTAGCTTAGCGGTGGTGACATGAAGTCATGTGACCGTGCTGTAGTTCCTTTATAGCCCAACATTAGCCGCCGTTAGCATAGCGTGGTGACGTGAAGTCATGTGACTCGTGCTGTAGTTCCTTTATAGCCCAACATTAGCCGCCGTTAGCTTAGCGGTGGTGACGTGAAGTCATGTGACCGTGCTGTAGTTCCTTTATAGCCCAACATTAGCCGCCGTAGCTTAGCGGTGGTGACGTGAAGTCATGTGACCGTGCTGTAGTTCCTTTATAGCCCAACATTAGCCGCCGTTAGCTTAGCGGTGGTGACATGAAGTCATGTGACCGTGGCTGTAGTTCCTTTATAGCCCAACATTAGCCGCCGTTAGCATAGCGGTGGTGAACGTGAAGTCATAGTGGACCGTGCTGTAGTTCCTTTATAGCCCAACATTAGCCACCTTTAGCTTAGCAGTGGTGAGGTGAAGTCATGTGACCGTGCTGCAGTTCCTTTAGTAGCCCAACTTAGCCACCATTTAGCTTAGCGGTGGTGACGTGAAAGTGCATGTGACCGTGCTGCCAGTTCCTTTATAGCCCAACATTAGCCACCTTTAGCTTAGTGGTGAGTGACGTGAAGTCATGTTGACCGTGTTTTGTAGTTCCTTTAAAGCCTAAAGTTAGCTTTTCAGCTTCAAAATCACAAAGCTTAAAATCTTTTATATGTAACTTTTTGTGAAAAAATAGACATACAATAATAAAAAATGAAAGCAGCCTTGTAAAATCATCAAAACACAAACAATAGTTACTGATTGAAAGCATTTTATTATTATTATAATAATAATATATAATTATTATTATTATCAACAGTGTAAAGTCACATAATGAAAAAACTTTTACATACTTTTTTTTAAAACTTTTGGTCATAATAAAAATATTCTATACAGAGGCAAAAATAACAAAGCATGGACTAAAAGTGACGAACACCATCATCATCGTCATCTTCAGGACGGGGGAGAGGAGAGTGGGGGGGCTCAGGAGGAGGAGGATGGGGGAGGGTTCGGTGTTTCTGACTTCCCGTTGTTGCTGCTCACGCTGATTTTTCTGTTTAAAACACCATTTCCCGAGCGACGCAGGTCACCTGACCGTTAGCCACTGTGTACGAGCTGTTCCTGCAAACACACAGGAAGTACAGTTATCAACAGTTATTAACATTACTTACAGGAAATATCAGAACATAGTGAAAAAGGTCCATCCCAGTTTCTCCAAATGTTAGTAAATGTCGGGACAATACAATAAACATTAATATACAAAAAAGAAACATTACCGTTAACTAAATACAGTATATCTGAATAAAGGTTGAGTCGCTGTGCCGGTTTTAAAGTGGCAATCCAAATGTGCCAAAATAACCAGGAAAAGTGTGCAAAGATATGATAATCACAAAGATATGTCTGCTTGAATTGATTTTTAATATAGTAAGCCGTTTAGTTTTCTAACCCTAATCTTTTTAGCTTAAAATACAACTTTAACTTCACCTGATTAACTTAAATGTATTTATGTTAATGTGTTTAACTCGACACTCACTTCTGAGACTCGATTCGTTCTGCACGCTGGGCTGAGGCGGCTTTAGCAGTAGAAAAAATGAAGACCACCAGTGACCCGAGTCTTGTCTTTGAAGTCCTGTAAACATCAAATATGTAATGCATTTTAGACGGAGCTCAGATTGCCTGCAAAAAGACCCTCATTTTTCACACTTTAAAGATGAAATATTCCTCTCTTCTCCTGACCTGGGGGGTGGGGAATGACCTCTCCGGTGAACTCAGAGCTGCCACAGGAGCTGTTGCTGGAGACGGACCCGATGCGCCCTTAAAAATAAAACACTTTCTTTAGTAAGAAAACCTCATCTGTGTCTAATTTAACACAAACCGGCTTCAAACGGAGGTAAATGATACTGTTCTCAGGTGCAGAATGAAAAGCAATAATAAATGCTTTTTCCAATTCCCCTGAAATGACTGTAATATAAATGCATATGATCCCCGCCTGACTCACGTCTGTAGTAATCATGTGTGGCGATGAGGGAGCCGGTTGATGGAATCGCTGCCATTTTCTCCGGAAAACTGCTCAAAGATGGAAAATGGAAACCTGGAGGAGAGACAGGAAGAGAAACGGGAGGTTATTATTATGTGGCTGGAAATAAAATGAGAAAATGGATGCCCTTAAGTTTTCCTTTCCTCACATTGTCATCTTGTTTGATTTGATCCTATATAAATGGCACTTGTGTTCTTGTTTAAAAAGCATTGCATAAAAGAGCCAGATTATGGAGGACTAACGCTGCCATCATAGTCAGTAAATAAGTAAGTATGCACATTTATTAATCATAAGAGAAGCTTTAGTACTTTATAAATGACACATCAGTACATACAATATATTTAGGGTTATAGAGACATGAGGTGAGAGAGCATGTCCCGTCTGCAGGCCATCACTGATACATAGAATCTGGTTTACCCATGACTCAAATAACCAGAGTGTGTGTGTGTGTGTGTGTGTGTGTGTGTGTGTGTGTGTGTGTGTGTGTGTGTGTGTGTGTGTGTGTGAGATGTCAAGATAACCTCAGATAGCTTAGTGCATGAGCTGGCTGCATGATCGAGAAATGAACCTGCTGGAGTGTGCCAGTGTTCTGCCTCAGAGGGCATATTTGTTTGACGTCCAAAGACTGTTCAGCCAAGATATTTCTACTGCTAGGATAACCATTGCCAGAATGTATTTAAATAGCAGGGACATGTGTTGAATATTAGAGAACATGCATGAGTAAATGTGCATTTATTTGTGTTTTTAAGGCCTTATCTAGATCTGTAAGCAGCCTGGAGAGGCAGCTGAAGGTTGGAGAGCTTAACTCCAGGTGAGCGGTGAGAGGCTTTGGGGATTTCAAGGAACACACAAAAGCATGTCTGCACTTATACAACTGCTTCATGCATTAATACCTATTAAACAGAAGTACTCAGATATTGTACTTGAGTAAAAGTAGAAGTACTCAGGTCTTGTACTTGAGTAAAAGTAGAAGTACTCAGGTCTTGTACTTGAGTAAAAGTAGAAGTACTCAGATCTTGTACTTAGTAAAAGTAGAAGTACTCAGATCTTGTACTTGAGTAAAAGTAGAAGTACCAGAGTGTAGGAATACTCTGTTACAGTAAAAGTCCTGCATTCAAAATATTCCTCAAGTGAAAGTAGAAAAGTATTCTCGTCAAAATATAGTGAAAGTAACGACAGTAAAAGTAGTCGTTGTGCAGATTGGTCCATTTCAGAATAATATATATGATATGTTTTATAATGATTGATCATGAAAGTGTTCTCAAAGCTGGTAAAGGTGCAGCTAGTTTGAATGACTTTGTATACTGCAGGGTAGCTGGTGGATTTACTCCAGGTGGAACTAAAGTCTGATTCAACACTTGATTATATTTCATATCATTCATCCACATCTGTGAAGTAACTAAAGGGATTAGATACATGTAGTGGAGTAGAAGTACACCATGTACTGTAGTGGAGTAGAAGTAGGCCTACTAAGTTTCAAAAAGTACAGTACTTGAGTAAAGGTACTTTACACTACTGAAGATAACCCAGCAAGACAAATAAAAATGAAAGCATGGTTGTGCAGAAATATAAACTTAAATGTGACATATTTAATGTTATAAAACTTAAATTGTATGTGTAACCTACCTTAAGGAAGAGGATGCGGTGCAAGGTGCGGATGTCTGGAAGTAGGAAAGAGTACTAGTGGTTACTGAGGCCCATCTGTGGTGTCTGTCTCTGGTTGTCTGTCTCTGGGTTGACTCTCTCTGTCTGTCCGCTTCTGTCTGTCTCCGGATCAGAGAGCCGGTTTTATAGCCTCTGTCCGGCAGCTGCTGCTGCTGAGGGGCGGGGCTGTGGAGCACCGGGACACGTGTGTGGTAAGGGTAAGAGACAACAAGGTGATATCATACTTCGTTTTGCTTCTACTCTTCAAAGATTCAAAGGTTATATTGTCCTAAACTACAGCGTAGAAATGCCATTTAAATGATTCTGACCTGAGCTCCTCCAACAATTACAAAAATACAATAAAAAAAATTATGCAAGAAGTCTAAATAGAATATGATATGTACAAGAACAGAATATGAAATTAAATAATATACATTAAGACAAAATTAAATACGGTTTATTGCGGTGATAACTATTTTATATAAATAAGTAGATTGCATTTAATGCTAAACCAGACTCCGTTTACATTGTTCCTAAATCAACAGATTATTAATCATGACAGGATTCTTGATGTCAGTCGTATCGTTTTAACAGCTACATGGATTCGGGCGAGAGGTGTATTAAAGACGTTGAATGTACGTTTGTTATGCTTTACGTCACAACACTTATGAAGAAAAGTGTTGTTTTCCCCTGAAATAACTTAATTTAGCAAACGGATAATAACGGTGCGTTAACTGCATATTAGCCATCTTATTGTTTGGTGACGTGACGTGTTTCAATCAATGGTTTTATCTTAGACAACTAACGGCTACATGCTATTTTACATCTCGTACACTATTGTATCATTGACAGGTTT